GCAGCCTTTTCTCACCCAAAGCAGACATGGTACCTTGAGCACATCTTCCACACAGCTGCCCAGCTCTGCCTCTGGCACCAGCACAGCCCCTGCTGTCAAATCCTGCAGTGCCAGCTCTGAAAGCAAAGGGCACACACATGAGCCCCCCAAAACAGCCCAGAACTGCACTCCCTGCACCCCAAAGCACTCCCACAGCTCCCTTCCCTCCCCATGGGAACAGAGCAGCCCTCAGAGTTAGCCATCCTAATTGTGCTGAAGTGTCATAAACCCCCAAGGAGACAGGGAAATAACACAGACCACAACTCCATTATGGATGATTCCCCAGAGAGCTGCTGGCCAGTGTGGGGAACCAGAACAAGGATGTCAGACTGGGAGAGGCTCCCAAGGAGCACGGGGCAGAGCCAAACTGCTCAGCTGCCACGCTGCAGCGACTGCACTCAAACAGGGGCAAACACGGGGTACCCAGACAAACTGACAGGGTCAGCACAGGGAGCTGGGCTGCCACACTGCCCAGCCTGGCCTGAGAAAACTCGGAGGGAGCGACAAAAACCAGTGAGGAGCAGAACCAAAGGCTTGCCCAGCCCAAGCAGGTACCTGTGGCCTCGGAGCAGCGGCGCAGCGGCGCCAGCAGGGGCTGCAGCAGGAGCCTCTCTGCCAGCTGGGGCTGCTCCCTGGCCATGCTCAGCACCGTGCTGGTGGCCACACGCTGGAACTGCCGCGCTGCCACCTTGTCCTGCACGCGCAGCAAGTCCAGAACCTGCAAGGAAAGGGAAACAGGGATCAGCAGCCCCTCGGAGGGGACAGCCTGGCGCCTCCTGGCAGCCGAGGAGCCAGCCATGTGCTGCTTTGCTGGCAGCTGGCATGACATTCCGTGTGTGGAAGAGCCAGGGCCCTTCCCACACACGCAGGGCACCTCTCTGGGTCAGAGCAGGAGCCTGCACCACTCCCAGAGCCAAAGAGCTACACACAGAGCTCTGTGTAGCACAGTGACAAGTCCCTCGTGCGATCAGACATCATCACCCAGCATTTCAATAAAACATGGAAAATTCAAGAGTGGAAACGTCCTACTGCCAGGAAACCATCTCCACGTTGTGCTGGCTTGAGCCAGGCCACACTAGAGCAAAAGGAAGAGCCCTGGCACCCTCCAAGCTGAGAGCTGGCTCTGCATTCCCCAGCAGAGGGGACGAGGGACTTACCTGGGGGCACACCTGTCTGTAGTAGTCCTCGAGGGACAGGCACTGCTGGGGGCAGGCAGCCAGGATCTTCCCAACTGCATCACATTTCCTCCAGTCCAGAGCTGCTGCTTCAGCACCAGCACCACCTACAGCAGCAGCAGAAATCCTGGGTCAGCTCAACCCACGGCCAGCTCTGGCTGAAGCCAGGTGCTCCTAGCCAAAAATTGGATTTTGAGCTTTTATTGCTCTTTCAGAAGACATCTGAACTCAAGGATAGAAAGGGGAAAATTGCTGTGCAAGAGCCCTGATAATGGAAAGCAACTCCTACAGCCAGGTGGGTGAGCCAAAAGGTGGAGAGAGGTTGTGCTTGGGCGGTTGGAGTTGGCCAGATGAGATTTTGGCACAAAAAACCGTGGGATTCAGCTTGTGGAGAGCAACAGCTTCCTTCCCTGGCAGGACAGGGAGAGCAGGGGATGGGATGGGTCTCACTGTCCCTACAGCTCTCATAGCCCAGTGCCCAGCACAGCTCCCACCACACTGGCACTGGGACAGGGCACTCCCCAGGACTGATCTGGACACACACACTGTGTGACCCCATCGAGGCACAAACAGGCTTGGAGCCTTCCAGCGTGGCCCTCTAACACATGTGTATCCCAAATCAGAGCAGTCTGGGAGCTCGGCACAGTCAGGCAGTCTGTGTGTCACCACGTCACCTCAGCCTGGCACAAGCCAGCCCCTACACCCAGCTCTGTGGCTCTGCTCTTCTGGGGTGAACTGTCTCTAGACACCTCTGAATCTGTGATGCTGGGGCCCAGAGCCCCCCACTCACCGTCTGTGCCCTCCAGGACACCCCGAACCACGGCCTGCACCCCGCTGGGCCTCAGCAGCCTCTCGGAGAGCAGGTGCCCGCAGAGCCGCCGCAGCCAGCCCGGAGCCGCCCCCGGGCACCTCTGCAAGGCAGCAAAGGAGCAGGTGAGGAGCCTGCCTGCACACACCTGTGCCCAGCCCACCCTGGGCACAGCCCATGCTCTGACAGACAGCACAGCACACAGGCTTTGAATTGCTGCTTCATGCAGCGGCACAAAGCAAATCAGGAATTAACGAGAGGTCAGCCCTCAGGTGCTTAGCATGCTGTTCCATCTCTGCAAGTGTCCCAGGCCAGGCTGGATGCGGCTTGGAGCAACCTGGGATGGTGGAAATTGTCCCTGCCCATGATAGAGAGTGGAATGAGATGAACTTTGAGTTCTCTTCCAGGCCAAGCCATTCTGGGATTCTATGATTCTATTACAGGCATTTTCCCACGGGGACTTTCCTAAAACAACACTTAAGAGATTCCCCATCTCCTCCTCCCCAGGATGCTTTGGAACAGCCGCAGAGAGCAGCAGGTGCCCTGTGTCATCCCCCGAGCGGGAAGGGCGAGGTTTGGAGGAGCAGAGGCTGTGCTTGGCCGGGCACGGTGGATGTGCGTGCCAAGCCAAGGCGGCACGTGCGGCGATGACAGTCCCTGACACACCCGCACTCCGCTCCTGCCACACATCCAGCAGCCTCGCCAGCGCTCGGGGACTGGTTTTTAAGGTGTAAGAACATTTGCAGCGGAGCAGCATCCTCGGCGCGCGGTAACCACGGGGGTACGGACCGTGACAGCCCGGTGTCGGGGATGGCCCCGGGTACCTGCTTGGGCTGTCCCTGCAGGACGAGCAGCTCCTGCACGGCCAGCGGCTGGTAAACACGGTCCAGGATATCCCCCAGGGCTTCCCGGCACTGCGCTCGCTCCGCGTCCGAAACGCCCTGGAACAAAACACACCGGGGCTCTGATAAAACAGCTCGGTCCGGGCGGTGTGCCGGTGCCCCGCGGGCTCCCGTCGGCGGGCTCCGTGCCTCCCTTCTCTGACACGGGGCAGGACACGGGAGGCACCGCCGGAGGAGCGGGCTGGGACACGCACGGCACCCCCGGGGAGCGGGGCACGGGCTGCGAGTGCGGCACGGACCTGGCAGAGGGCGGCGGGGCCGTGTCCCAGCGCGCAGAGCCCGCACAGCAGCAGCCGGAGGTGCCGGGCGAGCAGCGGGGCGCCCAGCGCGGGCAGCCGGGCCAGCTCCACCAGCGCGGCCACGGCGGCGAACAGCCGGGCCCCGCGGCTGCCGGGCGGCGGCCCCAGCGCCGGCCCCGGCCCGAGCCCCGGCGGCAGGTGCGGCAGCAGCCCCAGCCCCACGGCGGCCCGCAGCGCCCGCCGCAGCGCCCGCTCCTGCCCCACGCTCAGCGTGTCGGCGCCGGGCGGCGGCGGCGCCCCGGGAGCGGCGGGGGCGGCGGGGGCGGCGGCGAGCGCGGCCAGGCGCTCCTTGAGGCACAGCAGCAGCGCCAGCAGCCCGCAGGCCGCCGCCCAGCCCGGCTCCGGGCCCGCCAGCCCGGCCGCCAGCGCGGGCGCCCGGGACAGCACGGCCGTCCGGAGCTGGCGCAGCGCGGCCCAGCCCGCTGCCCCGGACAGCCGCTCCTCCAGCGCCGCCGCATTCCTGCGCAATGTCTCCGGGCACAGGGCGCGCTCCTTGCCGGGCTCGGCGGCGCTGTCGCCATCAGCGGGCGGCCCCAACAGCAGCTCCAGCGCCTCCAACACACGGGCCGGCTCCGGGCCCGGCTGCGCGCCGCCCGCCATGTCCGGAGCGCTGTCGGTGAGCGCCGCCATGCTGCGGAGGGCAGGCAAGGGGCGGGGCCACCGCCGGCCGCCATGTTGGGGAGGGCGCGGGGGGCGGGGCCGCGCCGCTGCCGCCATCTTGGGGAGGTCGGGACGGGAGGAGGGCGCGGCCGGAGAGCGGGGCGGGACCGGGACCAGGACGAGGGACGGGAAATGGCTGCCAGTGCCGCCGTACGGGCTAGGTACGCTACTGGGGAGGAACCCTTCTCACTTGAGAGTGCTGAGGCCCTGGCACAGGTGCCTGGAGCAGCCTGGGACAGGGGAAGGTGTCCCTGCCCATGGCGGATGGAGTTCCATGATCCATAAGGTCTCTTCAAACTCCAACCCTTCCGTGGTTCTGCTTTCCCTATGGAAGGGGCCATGGCCACACCTGTACAGCAGGTAAAGCCTTTGAGCACCGGCAGAGCCTCACACACAGAAAAGTGGTTTGGTTTTCTTAAAACAATTTATTTCAATTTTATATAAAAACCATACAATCAAGCACTTGGCCACTGCTGGTTTCCCAGCTCTCATCAGACCCTTTTCCCATGATAAAAAATACAAACCGTGACGATAGCTAAACACAGAGGTCAGGATTTTGGGAAAGCCCTTTGATTTTGGAAAGCACCTTTCAATGACTAATTACACCTGGCATGACAGAGGAGGAAATCAATCCATAATCTGGGGTACAGAAAAATAGAAATCTGCCTGTACATAGTGGTATTAAATACAATTGACAGTCATGAAGCATTCTTTGGTCTGTGCTGATCGAGTGCCTCATTGCACTCTCCATCACTAGGTTCGTGATCTGAGCCTGTGTGGGGCTGGCAGCATGAGGTATTATGGAGACCGCCAGTGAAACCCTTTTTCCCTTCACGGAAAAGGGAAGAAGGACCCAATCCTGCCCCCCACAGCTGGGAGCACCTCAGTTCCAGGATAGGGAATGGGCTAAACTGTTCCATGCCCTGGAGCCAAGGGGGCCAGGAGAGACCCAGACTACCCCAAAACCCCCATCCCCACTGAGCCTGAGCTGGGGACGCTCACTCGCTTAGTGAGGGAGACACGGGCACAGGGTTCAGGAGGGGTTTGGCCACCCCGGACAGAGACCGACGTGTGTCCAGAGGGGTGAAATGAGGCGGCAGCAGCGGGCTGGGGGTCCTTACTCGTCCTCCTCGCCGCCGCCGTAGAGCTCGGCCAGCTTGCGGAAGCGGCCGCCCCAGTCGTTGAGGTAGTCGTAGTCCTGGTCGCCGTCGGAGGCGGAGGAGTTGAGGGAGCTGAGCGAGGTGGCCTCCGAGCCGCTGCCCTCGTAGTCGAACACCAGCAGCGAGTCGTAGGGGGGGGCCGTGGGGTCCGTGTCGGCCGCCTTCAGGTTCTGGGGGGGCACAGGGGTCAGCGCCCGCGTCCCCTGTGCCGTTGTGGCAGGGACGCGTGGCGGGGACGCGTGGCGGGGACATGTCACCCCCGGGCTCTCAGCACTCACCTCGTCGATGAAGTTGCCGATCTCGTCGGGGTTGGCGGGCCGGGGCCGGTATTGGGGGGCCGCCATCAATGGGGGGGCCACGTCATTGCGGATCACCTCGGGCCGTGCATCCAGCCCCCGGTGCAGCTGGCTCAGGTCGTAGTCCTGCGGGGACAGGAGGAGTCAGGGCTCGAGGGACAGCCATGGGCACCGCCACCACCCCTCCAGCCAGCGCAGCCATCCCACCTGGTCCTCCTCGCCACCGCCCTCCTCGTCATAGTGGTACACGTTGTCCCTCATGTCATCCTCGGGTGGCAGCAGCGGTTCCTTCTCCACCTTCCTCCTCCTCACGAAGAGCAGCAGCAGCAGCAGGAGGACTGCAGGCACAGGGAGGGGTGTCAGGGCAGCAGGGAGGGGGTGACCCGCACTCTGCCCCTCCCATCCCTGTCCCGGGTACTCACTGAGCAGCGCCAGGATGCCCCCCAGGATGCCCAGGATGGCGGGCACGCCCATGCCACCGGAGATGTAGGCTCGGCGCTCGCAGTTCTTGGCTGGCCCCTCGCAGCTGCACACCTGGGCTCGCACAGCTGTGATCTGATCCTTGCCCTGTGCGTCCAGCAGCTTCAGGAAGATGCTGTACTCGCCCGGCTCCAGCTCCTTCTTCATGCTCAGCTTCACCTCGTCTTGGTGAACCACAGAAGCATTTGGGTTGGAAAAGGTCTCCAAGATTATTGAGTCCGGCCATCCCCCAGCACTGCCGAGGCCACCACTGACTCATCTCCGCAAGTGCCATATTTACAGCTCTCAAATCCCTCTAGGGACGGGGACTCCACCCTGGGCAGTCTCTTCCAATGCCTGAGCACCTTTACCATGAGTGAATTTTCCCCAATATCCAACCTAAATCTCTCCTGGCACATCTCGAAGTTGTTTCCCCTTGTCCTGTATCTTAGGAGCAGATCCTGACCCTCACCTGGCTGCACCCTCCTGCCACTAAATTGTGGAGAGTGAGAAGGTTCCTCCTGAGCCTCCCCAGCTCCCTCAGCCACTGCTGGTGCTCCAGCCCCTTTCCCAGTTCTGCTCTGGGAACACCCTTGGCACTGGCACAGGATTTTGCCCCATGGCACGTCCCCAGCCTAGCGCTCATTGCAAGGCCCAGCACCAGAGCAGGTGGCACCCACCTGGTTGCACCACGCTGGCAGTCCAGTTGCTGCCAGAGCCGTGCATCAGCTCTGCCTTGAAGGGGTGGGTGTTGGGGGGCAGGTCCTTGTCGATGATCTTCAGGATCTGCTCCTCGGGCTGCCGGTTGCAGATGTCGAAGCTCCGGGGCTCCGGCACGGGCCCGTTGTCATTCACATCCCCAAGCACGAGGAGCAGCGTCCCCGTGCCGGTGGCATAGTTTGGTGACCCTGTGGGACTAAGAGTCAGCGAGGCACCTCCATGGGGGGACACGGAGGTGGGCACGGGGGCAGCAGCTGGGCACCCTCACCGTTGTCCACGGCCAGGATGATGGCCTTGTAGGTGCTGTTGATGGCATGTGCCGACTCCCGGTCCAGGGCCTGGGCTGCCGTGATGATGCCGTTCTCAGGGTCAATTTCCAGCCACCCTGCGGGGTCACTGCCCATGCGATACCTGGGGGCAGCCAGGGGTCAGCAGGGGGAGAGGAAGGGGCACACGGTGCAGCACGGCTCCTCAGACATCCCAGCAAAGCCCCCGCCACCATCACCCTCCACTCACGTGATTTTCTGCCTCTGGTCCTTGTCGGGGTCCTGCGCTGTGTAGGAGGTGATCTGGTACCCCACTGGCACATCCTCGCTCACCTCCACCTGCTTGACTGGGGGTATGAAGATCGGGGCTTCATTCACGTCCCTGACCACCACCAGGACATTGGCTGTGGCAGGATTCAGGTCCACGGTGAAGGGGACCTGGTTCTCCACTGACACCACGAGCTTGTACCGGTTCTGGGACTCATAATCCAGGCCCTGCGGGTGGGAGAGAAGCGGGGTAGTGCCAGCAGGGAGCCAGCTGGCGCTGAGGCAGCCGTGAGGCAGCAGGACCCACCTTGGCAGTTTTCAGGAGCCCGTCGTTGGTTTTGGGGTCGGTGGTGATCTCGAAGTCGCCCTGCGGGTCCCCGCTGCGGATGCGGTAGACGGCGTTCCAGGCCGGGGAGCCGGGCAGGTCCTGGTCTGTCACATGCAGCCGGGCCACCATCACCCCCACCTCGTTCTCGTTCACTGACGACTCATACTGCAGGATGGGACAGGGACAGTCACCTGTGCGGCCCCAGGCACCCCAGGTAGAGCTGGGGCCACGATGCCCGGGGAGGGCAGCGGCTGGGGCTGCGCGGTACCGTGGCGGGGTCGAACACGGGAGGGTTGTCGTTGGCATCGGTGACTTTGATGATGGCAGTGGCAGTGTTGGTCAGGCCAAAGCCTTCCTGGTCTGCAGCCTGGATGATCAGCGTGTAGTTGGGAGTGGTCTACAGAGCAAAATCATCCCAGTTAGGGCTGGGGTGGGGACTGGGGTGTTCCTCTCCTCCAGGCATCACCTGCCTGCTCCTCCACCCTTCTCCAGCCTCGCTGTTTCCTGCTGGCACACAGGCAGCTGATGTCCCAGCTGCCCGCCCAAGGGGCTGGCACTGTACTCACTCCAGGGCTCAGCAAGGCTGGGGGCTCCTGGAGGGTCCCCAGCATAGCTCCTGTAGACACCCCTACAGCCAGGGACAGTGACCCAGGGGTGGCATGTCCCAAGACCAGATGGACCCCAGGGCTGCAGTATCCCTTTCTCCCCACGGCACATCCCGCTGTGGGGCAGCCCAGGTTCCCTTGGGCTGTGACAAGGTGCCCACCTCCCGGTCCAGTCCCGTGCCAATGACACTGATGATGCCATTGGCGGCGTTGATGGTGAACATGTCCTGTGCACCCTTGGGCTCCTCGCTGAGGATGGAGTAGCCGATGATGCCGTTGTTCACATTGATCGCATCATCTGCATCCGTAGCGTTCACGGTCATCACAGATGTGCCTGGACATGGGGACAAGCCAGGGGGATGTTACTGATGGGACAGAATCCACGGGCCACCCTGGCACTGCTCACGCTCAGGGCTCTGCGTGGGCCCAGCTCAGAGTCCCCCACGTACCCGGCTTTGCGTTCTCCTCAATGTAGCCAACAAAGACCTGCTGGGTGAAGACGGGCCGGTTGTCGTTCTGGTCAGTGACGGTGATGATGATCTCCATGGGGTCTTCCACGGGCTGCCCGTTGGCCGACACGGCGTGGGAGAAGAGCTGCAAGGGCACAGTCAGTGTGTGCGCAGTGCCCACCACTGTCCCTGTCCCGCCACACATGTCCCCTCACTCACCTGGTATTTGTCCTTCTCCTCGCGGTCCAGGGGTTTTGTCACCTCCAGCCACCCCGTCTCCCGCTCGATGATGAACACACCCACGGGGATGGTGTCCGCCCCCTGCCCCGTGATGCTGTAGAAAACCTTGGTCTCCTTGTCCTTGTTGGATTTGATCTGGCAGCGAGGCAGGAGGAGGAGGGTGAGCCGTGTCCCAGTGCCCCAGGGATCCCTGCGGGCCCTGCCCGGTCCCCACGGGCACACCCACCTGCACCAGCTTCTTGGGGAAGGGCCCCCGCTCGTTCTCAGGGCAGTTGATGGGGGGGATGACCCAGTCTCTCTTCTGCCGCCGGGGGCCGTGTCCATGCTCCGGGAATATCAGCACGTCTGGCACTGTGCCCTGTTGGGACAGTGGCTCTGCTCAAGGCCAGCCCCTTGCTGAGCCCTCTGCCCCAGGGGCAGGGGCTGCTGTGACCCCAGGGAGCGGGTCTGTGCTTCACCTGCTGCATCCGCTCGTGGTGTCGGTGCTGGTGCCGCCGGGGGCGCAGCGTCACCTTGGCTGAATGCCTCTTGCCCACGGTGTCCCAGGTGTGCACAGCAAAGGTGATGTCCCGCTGCTGGAGCTGCAGGGGCCGGGTGGCAGTGACGATGCCATCCCTGCTCACCTTGAAGCGCGTATCATCCGGGAGGAAGGCGGCACGGCGCGACTCGCCACAGTCCACAAAGCTCACTGGGGACAGGGGACAGAGTGGCAGAGGGTTCTGGGGACATGGGCACACACAGCACAGCCCTGCCCCAGCAGCCTGGGCTGTGGGGTCACAGCAGTGGTGGGGATGCTCCACACACAGTGACACACGCCCTGTCAGGATTCCATCCTGGGCACAACACCCGGTGCATCCCTCCCTGGCTTTGGTCCAGCATGGGACATGGCAGGACCTCCCGTGCCACAGGATCCCAGCCGGACAGTGACAATGGGGCAAGTGGCAGCTGGCACAGCATGTTCCAGTCCCCAGCACCATGTATGGCGTGGCACCAGGCACGGCACATCCCCACATGGGTGTATCCCTGTGGCACAGCACGTCCCCAAGCATGGCATGCCACCACCACTGTGCCCATGCTGCCCCAGCAGTTTTTCCAATAAAAACAAGGGCAGCAGACGTCCACCTGCACTGGCACCCAGTGCCCTGGCAGCCAGGCCCCTCAACCTGCCCAGGTACCTCCGGGACCCCAGCCCCGGGGACAGGCGGGGGCCCGGTGCCGCTGGCTGGGCACAGCAGAGCTGGGCCGCCACGAGGCAGCGGTCAGCGGGCATCACATGAGCCGTGCCGTGCTCCCGAACAAACACCCTTTGTTTGGGAGAGTTATTGGAGCCAGCGGCGCCCGGGCTCCGAGCGCTGCCTCCACCGCCCCGCCGTGACCCGTGCCGGGGTGGGCGGCGGCGCCGAACGGATCGGATCGGAACGGAACGGGGCCCGTGGGTTACGTCAGCCCACGAGCAGCCCAGGAATCCGGGCTGGCTGTGGGACGGAGGGGGAGCGATCGCTGCCCCCTGCCCACCGCGGTGCCCCCGAGTCGGCCCAGGAGCAGCCGCCGGCGCGGTGCCAGCCCCGCTGAGCCCCACGGCGGGACCCCCGGCCGGGGCAGGCCGAGCCGGTGGGGCCGGCTGGGCAGGAACGTGCCGGGGCAGGCGGGGAACGAGAGGCAGCCGCGGGCGCAGCCGCCGTGCTCGGCCCTGGCCCCAGGCCCGGGGGTGCAGCGGGGGGCGGCACGGAGCCCCCAGCCCCACGCTGGGTGCAATGAGCGCTCAGCGCTCAGCCCGCACTGGGTTCGAGGAGAATGCTCTGAACCCGCTCTCCCCCTTTCCAACTCCCCCCCTTCCCACCTGGCTGTGCACAACCTGTTTTTCCAGCTTGGCTGAAGGAGGGCTGGCCCCAGCGCTCCTCTCCCCGGGGCTGGGAGCTGGGGGGGTGGAGGGGGGCCCTCTCCTGGGAATGATGGGGGTGGGAGAAAAGGAGAGCTCAGGGAGCCCTACAAGGGGATCCCTGACCCCACTTCGGTCCCCCACCACCGCCTGCAGGACACTGGGGCCACCAGACTGGTACGACCAGACTGCCAAGCAGGGTGTGGGGCTGAGACCCCGCACAGGGGATCAGGGCAGCCCCCCAAAGCCACCTGCTGTCCTGTGGGGGCTCGGTGGGGCCGGGCACAGGCGGAGCAGGGTGTCCCCATCGCTGCAGTGCCCCCACCCCGTGTGTTACACACGCAGCTGTGCCAGGGCAGGGGGCTCACCCCGGGTGAAGGTGCTGCGGGTGACACATCCCACTGACGTCACCCCAGTTTCGCTGTGACTTCAGACTCTCGAGGTTTCTCCACCCAGGGCTGACGGGCGCTGTGCCAGCCCCCACCATGTCCCCAGCACCCCCTGAGCCCCCCGAGCCCCCGAGCCCCGGAGCAGAGCCCTGGCGGTGCCGCAGCCCCGCGCCGGTGCTGTTGTTCCCCGCTGCTGTTCGCCGCCCCGGCGCCGCGCGGGGCCTGCCTGGGCCTGTCGCAGGGAAAACATCGCGCTCAACTCATCGAGCTAATTACAGGCCGGCTCGTCAGCCCTGCCACAAGCTGTGGGGTGCTCTGCGGCCCAGCATGGCCTGGCATCCACCAGGCTCGGCCACCCCACGGCTGGCATTGCCCTGGCACGGCTGTGAGTCACTGGGTGCCACACAGGCCTCAAGGGCAGATGGTCCTTTCCTTCCTCCCACGCCCTGGCTGTGCCCGCAACCCAAGCTGAAAGTGCTGGTGCCAAGACAGAGGATTTCCAGCAGGTCTCAGTGCTGCGGGGAAGTCAGCAGGGCTGCCGTCACCCTGGTATCAGGCCCAGCCCTGATGGACATCGGTTTGTGCTCATTAATGATCAACCACAAGGCAAACAAACATGATTCCTGGGATAGGGGCAGGGTCCAATTCCTGCCTCTCCCAGGCGAAGCCGTTACAGAGCTGAGGATGTTTGGGAGGCTTGGTGCATTACTGGGTGCTCGGTACCCCTCGGCCCTGTGCCCCCCAGCCACCCTGGCACACACACTGCGGTGCCAGCACCACTCTCTGCCATGAACTGGTGCAGATGGTGACAGCCACTGCACACAGCCCCAGAGCCCACAGTCCCTTTTGGGAGCCCAGAGTGGCAGCAGGTCCCCAGCACCCCCGTGCCACACCAGAGCAAGGCTTTAGTGCCAACACAGTGAGTGGGACACCAACATCCCCAAAAGCCCAGGAGCCCATCCTGGTGCCCGTCCCCATGGCAAGAGCTGCCCTGGGGGCGCACACAGTGGGTCCAAGGGGGTTCACCCTGGTGAACCCAGGGTGCCAGGTGAGGCACGGGGCAGGGAGGCGCCTGCGTGCCCCACACCCCGGCCTGCCGGCCCCGACAGGTCCGCGGTGCCTGAGTCAGCGCCGCCCGCGCCGGCGCGCCCCGGGGAGCGGCTGCCGCTGCCCCCGCGCCCGTTCCGCCGTGCCAGGAGCCCGTTCCGCCGTGCCAGCGCCGGCACTGCCCCCGGTGCGCCGGGTGGACACGCCGGGCTCTGCCCTCCACGCCACTGCCACCCCACCGCCACAGTGCCATCCCCGCCGCCACAGCACTGTGGCCACGCCCGTGGCCGTGCCAGCGCCCCTCGGGCACGGAGCCACGGCTTTTCTCGCCCACCCCCGTCCCACCCACCCCCCTGTACCCACAGTCCCGTGCCCATCCTCACAGCCCCTGTCCCCCACCGCCGGTTGTCCCGGTGTCCTTACCCCGGCCCAGGGCCCGTCCCGCCGCCACGCTGTCCCGCGGCACCGTCAGGGAGAAGGTCTCGGCGGCGAAGCCGGGCTGGCACGACGCTGCCCGCTGGCACAGCCGCTGCCCGCACTGCCCGGAGAGAGACGTTAGCACCGGGCGGGGTCCCGAGCGAGGTCCCGCGGCCCCGGCAGGGTCTCGGCGGGGTCCTGCCGCCCGTTCCGTGCCTCACCTGGAGCAGGAGCAAGAGGAGGCAGAGCGGAACCGAGCAGCCCGCCCGCCGCCCCATGGCCGGAGCCGCAGCCGCAGCCGGTGCCGGTGCCGGTTGGTGCCGGAAGGATCGGGCGCTCTCCCCGCGGAGTCGCAGGTGCGTCCGGTCCCCTCCCGATCCCTCCTCGCAGGTGTCGAGCCCGCGGAGAACCGCCCCGTCCCGTCCCGCCCCGACGGGAGGCGGTCCCGCCCCGCCCGCGCCCGGATCGCCGGTATTCCCGGTACCTCCGCCGCCCGCTGTCCCGGAACCCCCTCGGTACCGGTGTGGTACTTCTCGCACGGTGCCCGGTGCCGTGGTACCCCCGGTACCCCAACACCCCCGGCGCTCTGCCCGTCCCGGGCACCCCGGCTCCCCGTGCCTCTGATACCCCCAGCCCCAGGCACAGCCCTCGAGCTTTCCGTGCCTCCCCGTCCAGGGCAGGGCGAGCAGGGGGTGTTGGGGGTGACAGGAGCCAGGGGCACCCCAGGGTGCCCCCACAGCACGGCCCCAGATCCCAGCTCTGCAGCAGGGGACAATCATCGTACCCAGGGACCCCTCGGGATGCTGCAGTGCCCTGTGCCCCTCTGTCCCAAAGCACAGCACTGGGGGTGACCCTAGGGGAGGGGACCCCCAGTACCATCCGCTGTCCCCACCCCATGTTTCAGGAGCTGATCCTGGAGCCAGCGGGAGACCCCCAGAGCTTGGGGTCCTGCCAGGGCCAGAGGCTGCTCTGCCCACCCATGCCAGCACCCATGGGCATCTCAGAGGGTTGGGGTGGCAGCAGGGCTCTGGCTCTCCCAGGACAGGAGAGATTTAGCACCAGGAATGCCCAATGCCACCAGTGTCACTCCCATGAAGGACAGACTTTTGGTCAGTGCCCTGCCCGTGCCCATCAGCACCCTTTGGGGGGCATGGGCAGTGCCCCTGCATGGGTGACACTGCAGCTGTGCCACAGGTTCCACACTGCAGTGGGCAAGGGGGGACAGGGCTGGAGAGGGATCACTGCAGGGCTGGGGGCAGCGCCAATCTCCAGGGCACAAAGTGACACAGAGCCTGCAACGTCTAAAAAAACCAAATCCTTTATTAAAACTGACCCAGCTCCCATCCCCTTGTCCGCAGCATCACACGCCATCATTCCATACCTTAAAAAATAGATAATAACCACAAAAACGCAGGCGAGGAGGTGAGGGGGCTGTGCTGGGGTGGGGGGCACGGCAGGGGGAACCCCCAAGGCACAAAAGCAGCAATAAGGCAGGGACAGCAGCGGGCTGGGGGTCCCTACTCGTCCTCCTCGCCGCCGCCGTAGAGCTCGGCCAGCTTGCGGAAGCGGCCGCCCCAGTCGTTGAGGTAGTCGTAGTCCTGGTCGCCGTCGGAGGCGGAGGAGTTGAGGGAGCTGAGCGAGGTGGCCTCCGAGCCGCTGCCCTCGTAGTCGAACACCAGCAGCGAGTCGTAGGGGGGGGCCGTGGGGTCCGTGTCGGCCGCCTTCAGGTTCTGGGGGGGCACAGGGGTCAGCGCCCGCGTCCCCTGAGCCCCTGGGTGGCAGGGACGTGTGGCGGGGACGTGTCACCCCCGGGCTCACCAGGTCAGCACTCACCTCGTCGATGAAGGTGCCGATGTCGTCGGGGTTGGCGGGCCGGGGCCGGTACTGGGGGGCCGGCAGGAGGGTGGGGGCCACGTCATTGCGGATCACCTCGGGCCGCGCGTCCAGCCCCCGGTGCAGCTGCCGCAGGTCGTAATTCTGGGGACACACACACACATGGAGAGGGGCAGAGTGAGACAGCCCACGCTGCCACCAGGCCCCTGACCCCCACACCCACCTGGTCCTCCTCGCCGCCACCCTCCTCCCCGTAGTAGAAGATGTTGTCCCTTGTGTCATCTTCGGGCAGCAGCAGCGGCTCCTTCGTCACCTTCCTCCTCCTCACGAAGAGCAGCAGCAGCAGCAGGATGACTGGGGGGAAGAGTGCCATCAGCAGGGACGTGTGTGCCCCGCTGTGCCCAGAGCTGGGCTGTCCCCACAGCCCCAGGAGCCCCACTCACGCAGCAGGGCCAGCAGCGCGCCCAGGGCGGCGAGGATGAAGGGCAGGGCGGTGACAGGCTGGGACCTCTGGGGACAGCCCTGAGCCTGCCCCTCGCAGGCGCAGACCCGTGCGGTGACAATGGTCACTTGGGCTCTGCCCGGCTGGTCCAGCAGCCGCAGGTACACGCTGTAGGTGTCGGGCTCCAGCGGTGCCACCAGCTGCAGCGTCACCGTGTCACCTACGTGAGATCGGGGGCTCAGGGATGATGCACCAGCAATGCAGCCGTGGCACGAGGAGCCCCCACGTGACGTTCAGCCCCCTGCAGTACCTGTGTCCCCCACCTCCACAGCCCAGCTGTCCCCCGAGCCGTGGGTGAGCTCGGCGCGGAAGGGGCCGGTGTTGGGGGGCAGGTCCCGGTCGGTGACGGTGAGGAGCTGGGGCTGGGGGCTGCGCTGGCACACGGTGATGTCCTGTGGCTCGGCCTCGGGGCTGTTGTCGTTCACATCCAGCAGGGTGAGGAGCAGCGTGCCCGTGCCCGTGGCCGGCGGTGAGCCTGGGGGGAACAGTTCTGGAGGGAGGACCCCAAACCCAGGACCCTCATGGGGACATGGGTGATTGAGCAGGATGGGGACAGAGGGAGCTTCAAAGTCAAGACTTTCCCAGGGACAGAGACTCTCTGGGCAAGGGTGGAAGTGATGCTGGAGGGGGCAATCCCAAACCCATGATCCTCAGGGGGCTGGGGGTGCCGCGGGCAGGGGTGGGGCCATACAGCCCAGCAGCGCTCCATGCTGGAGCTGGTGATGGCAGCACGTGCCCCTCACGCGGGAGGGGGAACAAGGGCCCTTTCATGTCCCTCACCATCATCCACGGCCAGCAGCACGGCCATGTAGGTGCTGTTCTTGACGAAGGGGGACTCGCGGTCCAGCTGGTCCCGCGCAGTCACCAGGCCGTTCTCGGGGTGCACGGCCAGCCAGCCCGCCGGGTCGTGCCCCACCAGGTACCTGGGGGTACAGGGGAGCTGGAGCTGCGGCAAGGGGCGGCAGAGACCCCCCCAAAGCTCCACTCCAACCCTGTCCCCGCTCACTTGATCCTCTGGCCCTGCGCCTTGTCGGGGTCCTGGGCCGTGCAGGCTGTGAGGGTCTGCCCTGGGGGCACATCCTCTGACACCGTGGCCAGCCGCACCGGCGGCACGAACACCGGGGCCTCATTGACATCCTCCACAGTGACTGTCACCGTGGCAGTGGCCATGGGCAGCTTCACGACGAAGGGGACCTCGTTGGCCACTGCCACGTGGAGCACGAACTGCTGCTTGGCCTCATAGTCCAGACCCTGCGAGAGGGGGAGACACGGGCAGTGAGAGCGGGACGGGCAGGGCTCCACCTGGCAGCACCGGGGTGGCAGGGGTGACACAGACCTGGGCGGTGCGCAGGACGCCCTCGTTGGTGGCGGGGTCGGTGCCGATGGCAAAGGCTCCGCCGTCGTTGCCGCGCAGGATGGAGTAGACGGCTCGCCAGGCCGGCGTGCCGGGCTCGTCCAGGTCGGTGACAGCCAGCCTGGCCACCTCCCGCCCGGCCGCGTTCTCCGGCACGGCCGCCTCGTACTGCGGGTCAGGGCACCGTCAGCGCCGCGGCCCGGCGGGCACCGGGGCTCACAGCCGGCGGGGGGCCCACGTTACCATTCTGGGGTCGAACTCGGGGGCGTTGTCATTGACATCGGCGATCTCGATGACGGCCAGCGCTGTGGTGGTCAGTCCCTCCCCATCCAGGTCGGCCGCCTGCACGGTCAGCGTGTACTCCCGCACGCGCTGTGGTGGACAGACAGACAGACAGACACCGTGTCAGCCCTGCCCGGGCTGGGACCCTGCCCCCGGTGCTGCAGAGCCCACCTCCCGGTCCAGGCCGCTGGCAATGACGCTGAGGGTGCCCGTGGCCCGGTTGACAGTGAACATTTGGGGATGGGGCTCCCGCGGCTCCTGGCTGAGGATGGAGTAGGCGATGACACCATTGTAGGTCTCCACTGCGTCGTCCGCATCCGTGGCTGTCACCTGCATGATGGAGGTGCCTGCGGGTGTGGACGTGCAGGTGAGGGGGATGCTGGGGGGCACAGTGCCGGGGCTGTGCCCCAGGAGCAGGGCTGGTGGGATGGAGAGCTTCCCCAAGGCACAGGGTCCTACCTGGCAGAGCTCCCTCTGGCACAGAGCCCCTGAACACCTCCTGTGTGAACTGGGGCTTGTTGTCATTCTGGTCTGTCACCGTCACGATGATCTCCATCGGCTCCTCCACTGGCTTCCCGTTCTCGGACACGGCGTGGGAGAAGAGCTGCGAGGTGGGGTGTGAGTGGGGGGCTTGGAAGAGCACCTCAACATCCCCCTGGTGTGAGTGGGGGCCCTGGCAGAGCACCCCAACATCCCCCTGGTGTGAGTGGGGGCCTGGCAGAGCACCCCAACATCCCCCTGGTGTCCCCAGGCAGGGACCTACGTGGTACTTGTCGATGCGCTCGCGGTCCAGCGGCTGCGTCACCTTCATCCAGCCCGACTCCTTCTCAATGGTGAAGATGCCCTCAGGGGGAGCATCTGCTCCCTGCCCTGTGATGCTGTAGAAGATCTTGGTGTCTCTGTCCCGGTTGGATTTGATCTGGGAGGAGGCACAGAGCAAGGGATGGGCTCAGCATCCCCCAGCACCCAGCTCCCCTGCCCAGACCGACCAGTGCCGTACCTGAACCAGCTTTTTGGGGAAGGGGCCCCTCTCATTCTCAGGAACCTTGATGGGGGGGATCACCCAGTCCCTCTTCTGCCTCCTGAGAGCAGCTGGAGCCCCGGGCAGCTCCTGCGGGGCGGGGGTGAGTGAGGGCACGGCCGGCGGGGGCAGCAGGGGTGGGGGACAGGCGGTGCAGGGTTACCTGGGGGGAGCGCCCGCTCTCTGCGGGAACCGGGGCAGGCTCTGGCTGGCCAGCGGCATCCCGGGGGGGCACGGCGAGCGCCCTGCCCACCCCCGGCAGCCGCACGGGGCCCCCGTCCTCTCGCTCCCCGACATCGGGCTCCTCCGTGCCGTTCGGCCCCGCGCAGCCTCCGGAGCGCCCTGCGAGGGTGAGGGGTCAGGGGGATGGGGGGGACCTGTCCCCGACACCCCCGAGCCGCAACCACAGCGCCAGGAGCCCGCAATCCCCCGCAGACCCGGGGCGGAGCGGGGCAGGGGGCGGTGGAAGGGGCGGAGAGGGCAGCGGGAGCGGGGCAGGAACGCCGAGCGCCGAACGGGAGCGCGGTGGAAGTTTCGGTGGAAGTTTCGGCTTTGTTTCACAGATGATGGGAAATTCCTGGGCGGGCAGAGCCCTGCCCCAGCCCCCTCCCGGTGTGTCACCCCCTCGGGGCTCCCAACCCCCCGTGGCCACTGAATGTCCCTCCCCGCCTCCCACGCTGCGTCCCTCGTGCCGGACGCGGCCCCGGCTCCGCATCCCCCGGGCACGGATTAGGGGATTAGCGGGGCTGAGCCAGCTCCGGGCGGGGCCGGGGGGGCTGCGGGAGGCGTGGGATGGGGCAGAACGGGGGAGCGGCGCCCCACGGCTGCTCCACACCGGAGGGACCGAGCCCGGGGGCGCCGGTGGGGCCGTGCGGGGAGCAGCAACCGTGCCCCGAGGGCAGCACCGGGGCCCCTCCCGGTCGCGATGGCCGCGATAAGGGACTTTAATGGGGCCGGAGGGGCATCGGTCGCCGGCAAACGGGACACGGGGAGCCCGGGGAAGCCCCCAGCCCCCGTCAGGGGAGCCCCCAGCCCCGCTCTCCAGCTGTGGCCGGGTTGCTGTGCCCTCCGAAGGGCCGGGCGGCACAGGGGGTGCCCCAGCCTGTCCTCGGGGGTCCCTCAGGGCACCGAGCCCGCTGGGCGCCGAGGCGGAGCCGCACGGTCGCTGCCGGGGCCGTGAGCTGCCCACCGAGGGGGGATCGCAGTGGCGTGGGCAGACCCCCGCCCGTGCCCACAGCAGGGGCCTGGCAGCGCCCACCGCCAGGCTGAGCTGATGGAAAAGGGATGCGAAACGGGATGTGGTGTCCGCAGCAGACAGAGGCCGAGGCCCCTCCCTGGCACTTACCGCCAAGGAGAGCTTTTAGCGCTCCCGCGGCCATTAGACGAGCGCTGGCTCCGGCCGCGTTCCCGGGCAGCTCCAATCCCCCGGGAGCCGCCGAGCGAGGAGGGCACCGGGCCCGGGCCCAGCCCTGGCACCGAGTCAAGCGCTGGCAGCAGCGAGACCCTGCCCGGCCTCGGGCCGGCCACAGCCCGCACCCCGCGGCCGGAGAAGGGGGGCCCTGGAGCTCCCAGCCCCATTGCCAGCCCGGCGCCGGCCGCCCACCCTGCGGGGACCCAGCCCTGCTCGCAGCGGGTGCCCACGGCTGGGCCAAGGGCGCTGGCATCAGCCGCCTCCAGCCCAGGGAGAGCAGACAGGCACCGCCAGCCCCGCGGGGCACAGCCAGCCCCACGGCCGAGCCCCACAGCCGGGGCAAGCACAGCCGAGCCCCACAGCCGGGAAAGCACAGCCCTAGAGCACAGGGGCACAGCCAGCCCCATGGCCGAGCCCCACAGCCGGGGAAGCACAGCCAGCCCCATGGCGCAGCCCCCCACCTGGGGACCCCCGCCAGCCCCACAGCACCCGAGGTCCTCCCGAAAAGCAGCGGCCCCACCGCCGGAGGCAAAGCGATCCTGATCCCGGCTGTGAGGGAGGCCCTGCCGCCCCCCGGTGTTCGGAGCCCCGATCCCGGTGCCGATGGCGGCCCCAGCCGGTCCCCGCGGTGTTCCGGGGGTCCCGGTGCCCGCGCCCCGACGGTGCGAGTTACCTGCGGCGGGGAGCGGCCCGCGGCGCAGCCCCGGGAGGGCGCACGGGGGGGCCGGGGACAGGGCGGCCGCGGGCAGGAGCGGGGAGAGGAGGAGGATGAAGATGGAGAGCGGGCAGAACCCGGAGCGCGGCCCCCGCATGGCCCGTCCGTTGCCGCCGCCGCCGCCGCCGCTCCGGTCGCCGCCCGCCGCGTCCCGCCCCGTCCCGCCCCGCAACGCCCCAGGTGAGGCGGCAGCCGCGCAGGTACCGCCCCGCCCCGGAGAGCGGCCCCAGCGCGCCCCAGGCATCCCCCGGCAATGGCCCGGACCCCTCCGTCACCCCGGGACCCTCCTACCGGGGGCTCACCCCCTACAACACCCCGGCAATCCCCGTTACACCGCGGCGCTCCTCTGGAAAGCTCCGGCAGCCCCCGACACAACAGCCCGATCCCACCGGGCACCCCCGGTATTGCCCTGCAGCCCCACGGCAATCCCACGTTACCTCCCGGTAAAAATCCAGGCACAGCCCGGTACCCCTCGGGCGCCGACCGGTGCTGGAACCTTCCATACCCTCCGGGCACACCGGCACCCCTCTGAAATCCTCCTGGCAATCCGCAATCCCTCCCGGGCGCCCTGGGGCACCGCCTGGCAGCCTCTTGGCACGCCCTGGCAACTCTCGGCAATTCGCGATACCTCCCCGGTCACCCCGTTACCCTGCGGGCACCTCCCGGTCTGCACCCATCGGCATCGCCTTGGAGCCCCCTGGCACTCCCCGGTAGGGCCCGGCAATGCTCGGGCACCGCCCGCTCCCCGCCGGGCCCCCCCCGCTCTCTCGGTGCCGCCCCCCGGTGCCCCCCAGGGCAGCCCGGTGGGCACGCTCGGGCATCCCGGTATCCCCAGGCACCCTCGTGGTGCCGCCATCCGTCCCTCCCGGTGTTCCCGTGGCACCTCCCAGCACCGCCCCGCAGGAACAGCCCCCTCCCCGTTCCCCCGTGCCACCCCCGGGTGCCTCCTCCCCGTTTGCCGCCCATGGGTGCGCCCCATGGGGGGCCCGTGTGTGCCCCCAGCCCCACTGCACTGGGGGTTCCCACCGAGGGACAGCCCGGGGGGCTCCTGGACCCCATCGTCCCACAGCCGGAGCAGCATCTGCTGTGCTGGGTCCCCCGCAGGGCGCCCCCAGACCCCCCCGGGCTGGCAGCTCCGCAGAGCCGGTTCAGCTCTCCTGGCCAAGGTCACTGGCGCAACAGGGAGGGCTCCCAGCAGGCACCTGGGGGAGCCGCCAGTGCAGCTGCAGCCATGGCACCCGGCAGCTTCAGCCTCCTCCTCCTCCTGCTGGTGGGACCCTCGCGGTGGGGCCGGGGGCGCTGCATGGCCGTGCCCCGGCGGGTTCGGGGCAGAGCCGTGTCACCGAGCCGTGTCACCGAGCCCTGCAGCGCCTCTGTCCATCCCACAGGACGTGCTGACCTTCCCCGGGCACGGACACGGCCTCCAGCGGCACAAGAGGGACTGGATCATCCCCCCCGCCTACTGCCCTGAGAACGAGCGGGGGCCCTTCCCCAAGAAGCTGGTGCAGGTGGGTGTGCCCGTGGGGACCGGGCAGGGCCTGCAGGGATCCCTGGGGCACTGGGACACGGCTCACCCTCCTCCTCCTGCCTCGCTGCCAGATCAAATCCAACAAGGACAAGGAGACCAAGGTTTTCTACAGCATCACGGGGCAGGGGGCGGACACCATCCCCGTGGGTGTGTTCATCATCGAGCGGGAGACGGGGTGGCTGGAGGTGACAAAACCCCTGGACCGCGAGGAGAAGGACAAATACCAGGTGAGTGAGGGGACATGTGTGGCGGGACAGGGACAGTGGTGGGCACTGCGCACACACTGACTGTGCCCTTGCAGCTCTTCTCCCACGCCGTGTCGGCCAACGGGCAGCCCGTGGAAGACCCCATGGAGATCATCATCACCGTCACTGACCAGAACGACAACCGGCCCGTCTTCACCCAGGCAGTTTTCCACGGTTCTGTGCAGGAGGGAGCTGAGCCAGGTGGGAGCAGTGCCAGCCCCTGGCAGGCAGCACTGGAGGGGAGTGTGACAGGTCAGCAATAACCACCTGCTCCAGGCACATCGGTGCTGAGGGTGCTGGCCACCGACGCAGACGACGCCGTGAACTCCAACAATGGCGTTGTGCGCTACTCCATCCTGAGCCAGGTGCCGGACAAGCCCCAGCCCGGGATGTTCACCATCAACAGCCACTCTGGGCTGCTCTCTGTGGCCGTGCCGGGGCTGGTGGCAGAGGTGAGCCCTGGACTCGGCCCCCACCCTTGGCAGCTCACCCCCCACTCGTGGGTGACGCAGCCTCTTGGCACAGGTGGTCCCTGAATACACCCTGGAGATCCAGGCTGCTGACCAGGAGGGATTCGGGCTGCGAGCCACGGCCACTGCCCACGTCAGGGTGCAGGTGAGAGGCTGGGCCTGGCCCCGGTGCCCTGGTGGTGCAGAGGGCAGGGCCAGGCTGGGCCGAGGCCGGTGCTGGCTCCTGACAGCCCCACGTGCCCGGCTGCGGCAGCAGCGATGCGCTCCAGGTGCTTTCCACGGTGGGAGGTGAGACTGGGATGGCAGCTGGGCTGTGGCTCCTCCCGGCCCGGTGCCCCAGCCTCCCACCAGGCTCTGGGCCGCTCGCCCCAGGGCCGCAGCCTGCCGGAGCGTGGGTGCCAGCGGCGCTCCTGGGAAGCCGCCCGTGCCGGCTCAGCCCGGGCGGGGAGGAGCACCCGGTTCTGCGGGAGCCCCGTGCCAGGATAGCGGCATCCAGCCACGCCAGCTCCACCGGGAGAGGCCGTGGCGCCAGGAAGGGAGGCCGGGGATGGCGTTTTGTGTGGGGGCACCGGCCACAGGTCCCTGGCCCATGAGGGGGACGCAGGAGAGCCAGGTAAGCTCGCCAGGGCACCTCTGCAGCACCCCCTCGTCAGCCGGTGCTGGGCTGGCAGGGGGAGCCGGTCCGGCTCCAGGGAGGCTGCCTGGCCCTGCCGGCTGCTGGGACACAACCCCAAACCGTGCTCCCACCCCAGCCTGGGAGCTGCAGGGGGAGAAGGGGCCTGGCTGCCCTCAGCAGTGCTGACCTTGGCACCGGGCAGCTCCAGAGAGCTGGGCAGGGTCAGTGTCCGCCCGCACGTGACACCGTGGGCAGGGATGGGGCTGCTGGGACAGGGTCCAGGCTGGCTGCTGTGCTGTGCTGAGCCCCACCAGGACAGGCAGGTGAGCAGGGGGCACGGTGCTGCAGTGAGCCCAGAGCCCTGCATCCTGGTGGGAACCAGCTGGCACCCACACGGTGCCTGGGGCTGAGCACCCTGGCGTGGGAAGGACGTGGGACTCCATATCCCAGCTCCGGGCAAGAGTGAAGTGCAGGGGCTTGGCTGCAGCACGAGAAGGCAGATGGTACTGCCAGGACAGGTCCCGGCCCTGCTCTCCCCTCTCTGCCACAGGCTGACGGCATGTCCGAGGTGGGAAAGGGCACCCTGAGCACCCACGTGCTGAACACGGCCACGGGGCTGCCGGCAGCCGGCCTTGGCGTCCGCCTGGCCCAGCTGCAGGAGCCAGGGCTGCAGTGGATGGAGCTGGCACACAGGTACGAGGGCTGCTGGCACCTGCGGGGCAGGGACGCTGCTGCCACGCTCTGCGAGCTTGGCCAAAGGCTCCTGGCACAAATGGCTGCCCAGCCTTCACCTGGGGTTTGTTTGCTGGTGGCAGGGCTGGTGCCTGGGGGTATGGCCAGGTTCTGGGGTGGGGCAGGGCTGTGTTTTGGGGTACAGCAGGACTGCCTTGGTCTGGTTTCAGGCACACGGATGCAGATGGGCGCTGCCAGCCCCTCCTGGCACAGGGACAGGCCAAGGCTGGCACCTACAAGCTGCACTTTGAGACAGCTGAGTACTGGCAGGGACTGGGGCACACCAGCTTCTACCCCTTCGTGGAGGTACGGAGAGTGGGGAGACTGGGACAGGTGACACAGCATGTCTGAGGGCTGGGCCAGGCCCAAGGGGCTGCACTCCCCTGGGCCTCACTCTGGGAGGGGGATTCCCACTGCTGTCTCCTCACTCTCCCTCCCTCAGGTCGTTTTCATCATCACTGACCCGGCACAGAAGCTCCACGTCCCGCTGCTGATCAGCCCCTACTCCTACACAACCTACAGGGGCAGCTAGAGGGGCACAGCCTTCCCCTGGGGACGCAGGAATGATGCCACAAGGCCATTAAAAACTCCAAACAGCACCGTTTGTCTCAAAACATCACCTTCCACTTTTGTGGGAACAGAATTAGCCCCAGGGGCAGCATGGTGGGGTGGGTGGGATGCCTGCAGCCCTCCAGCTGTGGTCCCCCTTGCAGGAGAGGTTCCTGAAGGTGCTCACTGGGGTCTGTTTAAAGACACGCAGCAGGAAAAGGGCACAGCCCCACTGCCAGTGTGCCAGTGGGACCCTCAGTGCTGCCAGCATCAGGTGGGCACTGAAACGAGTCCAGCAGGGCCCTTCCCCAGTTCCTGCCCCGGGAGGGGGAAGGACAGTGGCTGGAAACCCAGGTTGTCCAGGGGGATGCCAAAGGCTGTCAGCTTTGCCTCGAAGGTCTGCAGCATGTCGTTGTGTGCCTGCGAGGAAAGGGTCCCTGTCAGCCCCTCTGCCAGCAGAGCAGAGCTCCCTGCAGCCCCAGCCTCATTGCCAACCCCCAAGCCAAAGCCATGGAATCACAGAATCGTTTGGGTTGGAAATGCCTCTAAGATCACCGAGTCCAACTGCTCCCCCCGCAGTGCCCAGGCCAGCACTAACCCCCATCCCCAAGTGCCCCATGCACAGGGCTCTTACACCTCCCCAGGACTCCTCCCTGCCCTTACCTTGCAGACTCTGGCCAGCTGGATCTGCAGGTCCTGGATGGTGGCATTCTTGGAATTGAGCACGTCCTGCAAGGAAGGGAGGTTGGGCTGAGGCTGCTCTGCCCAGCCCTGGGGACGCTCTGGCCGTGCCCTGGTGGCCGTGGCGTGGCAGAGCACACGAGGCTGCCCGGCCTGGCAGCTGGCCACCACCCTGCCCCCTCTGAGTGGCACTGCCAGGGACAGCCAGCCCCGGGCAGGGACAGCGGCTCTGGATGAGCACCACAGCCATCCCTGTCACGGGGAGTGCTGGCAGCACCTGCTCCGCTCCAGCAGCACCTCCCTGCTGCCGCGGCGGCACCACGGGAATTACAGGGAGCCAGGCTGCCCCGGGCAGCTGAGAGGAGGAATTCAGGGACCCCGGCAGCTGCAGGAGAGCCCGACGCCAGTGATGCCATCCCAGGAATGTGCTTTGTCCCACATGCTGGGAGGTGACACATCCCTGCCTGTGCCATAGGCCTGGTATGCATCCCAGAGCATCCCAGAGCCTCCCCGGCTCCCCCTGCCGCGGGGACCTGGCTGGGGACACGCAGGAGGGCACCAGGTGGTGGAGCCCTCGTTCCCTGTGTCTGCCCGGCCCGCACGGCGCCGCTGCCGGCTCCAGCTGCGGCAGGCTGCAGGAATGTGGGTCTCGGGCTCTCTGCAGAGGTATTTTTAGCACGGCAGGCACCGCAGAGCCCCAGGATCCCGTCTGCACCGTCTCCATGGCCAGGCGAGGCTCAGCAGGTGCAGCCCCCCCTGCACGGAGCCCCTGGGTGCCACCGGACCCGCTGGCAGTGGGCTGGCTGTGTGGCGGCACCGGGTGCCAGCGGTGCCATGGAGCCTGCGGCCACGCTCCTCCAGACAGGCCCCAGCTGAGGGACAGAGCAGTGCCAAACTCCACCACCCACACGCTCCGCTCTCGAGGCAGAGCCCAGTGCCCCGGGCACCACACGTGGCCTGGGAGTGCTGGCAGTGAGTGACAAGTGACGTGCCACCTACAGCCATGCATGATGGGCACTGGTGCTTTCCAGGGGCAGCAGGCACCCCACGGTGGGCTCTGCCCCCCAAATCCAGCCCTCGCCGGGCCCCAGTACCTCCAGCTTGTGCGAGACCAAGGAGAGAGCGCTGGGGTCGAGGTCGGCGGCTGCGAGGACCTCGCTGAGCTCCACCTCCTTCTGCTCCAGGAGGGAGAGGAGGCTGTGCAGCTTGTGCTCCAGGAGCAGGTTCTTGTAGCCTGTTTTTTGCTGCACCTCGTTAATGGCTCTGGTGAAGTTCTGGTAGAGGTCATCCCGCTCCGACTGGACCTGCTCCGGGGGGCAGCACAGTGTCACAGCACCCTCCCAGCACAGTGTCACAGAACCCTCAGGACACTGGGAGACAGCAGCACAGTGTCACAGCACCCTCCCAGCACAGTGTCACAGCTCCCTCAGAACCCCGGGGGACACAGGGGCCTGCACGAGGCTGGCTGGGGTCTGCACAATGGTGTGGAGCACAAACACAGCAGGAAACTGGTCCAGCAGCTCAGCCCAGCCATTCCCCAGGGCACCTGCAGCCCACAGGGAAGGCAGGTGCTGCAGCACAGCCTCCCCCCCTCCCCTCTTCCCTCCCTCTCTCCCTCCCTCCGTGGTGCAGCACCTGCGCTTCTCCCTCCTCCTCCTCCTCCTCCCCTCCAGGCACGGAATGCCCCAGCGGGCTCCCTGCAGCACTCATTCAGACCCCAGCCAGGGCCCCCGGCACACGGGGGTCTCTCCTCTCATCCCCACAGCTGGCAGCAGTCCCTGGCTCACAGCTAGTTAATAAGTGTCCTAATTAGGACACAGCCTCTCCTCCAAAGCCTATTTCTGAACGCTCTGAATCTGGCGCTGTCTTAATGATGGATTGTTAATGAGGCCTCGGATCAATGTTCATATTCCTGGGGATTTCTACGAATTGCAAATGAGCTCTCTCCTGCCTCCTAAGATTTATCTGGGTTAGTGGGGGGGAGCACTCGCTCTGCAGGGCTGCTCCCCAGCACCCCAGAACGGGAGGGAACAATCCTGGAACCCCGGCAGGAGGAGGGGCCCGTGGCAATGCCCCCATCCAGCTCTGCCCCACGCAGCCCAGCAGCCTGGGGCCCTGCTGGAGCGTGCGTGACTGCTCAGCAAAGGACAAGGCCAGGCCTGTCTGCTGACCGTGGGAGAGGCTGGAGCTGGGAGCAGCTTTGCTGGGAGCAGCGGTTATCACCCGACTCGGGATTAGCTTTGCAAAGCCCTGGGCTAAGCACAGCCTCTGCTGAGCCCCACGCCCTCAAATCCTCAGCTGAGGGTTTGCACAAGGTTTGGGGAGGGGAGGGGATGCCCAGCCCTGCCTGCACATCTCACCTGACTGAACCGCTGCTCCAGCACCTCGTGTTCCCACTGAAGGTCCTTCAGCTCCTTCTGAGCCACTTTCAGATGGGCTTTGGAGTTCTGTGAATGGGAAAGGAGGATTAAAGAGCACAGGATTATCTGAGAAGTGTTGGAAATGTGTTCTGGGAAGGGAGGAGAGTGAACAGCAGAGAGAAAACCAGGCAGCAGCCAGCACCCACACCAATCCCTGCAGCGGGGCTGCTCTCCCTCCCAGTCTCTCTTTGGATCCCCATCTGAGATCCCACAAATACACAGCAAGCAGAACAGGACTTGCTTTGCCCAGCAATCACAGCACACCAAGTGGCAGAGCTCAGTGTTTTCCCTCCAGGAACGAGCCCATGGAAGGACAGGGCTGGGCACTCACCACCAGGGCCTCCTTGTCCCTGTAATAGTTAACCAGCTTCCTCTGCAGCTCAGCCACCTGCTCCTGGGCCTCGTGCAGCGGCTCTGCCAGCCCCTTGTTCTCACGGAGCACATCTGCCTTCTCCTTTTCCAGCACAGCCTGCTTCTTCTTCAGCTCTTCCACCTGCTCCTGTTCTTGGGAACACAAGTGCTGGCTCTGGGGACTGCCCAGCCCCTCAGAGTGCCCCACACCCTCAGGACACCCTCCCCACTCATGTACAGGTCACCAACAGCACCCACAGTGACACCTGGGAAGTGCCAGATGCAGCTGACACCCTGGCAGGGGCAGTCCCTGGGTGCAGGGGTGGCACAGGGACAGGGAATACCTTCAGGAGGTTGATGAGGGTCAGGTTTTTGGGCAATACCTTCAGGAGGTTGATGAGGGTCAGGTTTTTGGCGGTGATGTCGTTGTAGTAGTTCTTGATGGCACCAAAAGCCCCCTCGTGGTTCCCTATCAGCTCGCTGATCTGGGTGTTCTTTCTCTCCTCCAGCTCATGGATCTCTGTCTTCCTCCGCAGGTCCAGCTCGTCCCGCAGCGCCTGCATCCTCCTCGTGTACTTGGCCTCCATCTCTGGGGGGAAATTGTCAGAGCTGGGGAAAAACTGGCTGAAACTGGGGAGGAAAAGTGACCAGAATGGGGAAGGGAGAAAAAACAGCCAAAACTGTGTGGGTTGGGACCAGCTGGAATTAAAAGGGAAAAACCAGCCAGAACTGGAGGACAAACCAGACTGATCTGGGGAGGAAAACCAGCTGGGACTTATGGGGAAAACTGGCCAGAACCTGGGTGGAGGAGATCAGCCAGAACTGGGGCGGGAAGCTGACCAGAACTGGGAGGAAAAATGGCCAGAAGAGGGAAGGGGAAAATGGCCAGAACTGGGGAGAACCTGCCCCCATGTGCTCAAGGTGCTGCCTGGGAACCAGGAGCAGCTCTCCCTGTCATGCTCCTGGGGGATGTGCTCATGGCCTCACCTTTGGTCTGCAGCTCGAAGTCGCTGCGCAGCCGGGACATCTCCTCCTCGTGTTTCTGTGAGGAACAAACTCCATGTTGGAAGAAACGACCACATCCCAAGCCAGCCCATCCCCTGGGACTCCCTCCTGCTCTTTGGGACAGGATTCTGATCCCATGTTGATGCAAACAGTGGCTTGTAGTTTCTCCAGCTGCTCAGACAGCTTCCCACTGTGGGAGAGGGGTCACCCAGGAATCCCTTCTCCCCATTCCTGCACCAGAAATCCCATCCCACCCCACAGAGAGCCAGGGAGGTAAGATCCCACTCCTGCTCCCATGCTGGGGATGAGGCACCTCACAGGACATACCAGGCAGAGCTTTGAGATGGCTGCCTCATTGGCCAGCTCCTGCTCCTTCAGCCTTGCGTTCAAGTTGTGCTTCTCCTTCCACATCTCCTCCTCCTGCTCCCAGTGATCCTTCTGGGCCTTCCTCAGGGACAGGACTCCCTCTGCCTTCAGCTCCGTCAGGTTCTCCTGCTGCTCGTGCAAAAGGTGCTTCACCTTCTGCTTGTACACCTAAGGACAGGCCAGGGACAGGTGAGGGGCTCAGCAGGACACACCTGGACCTGGGATGCTGGTGAGACATCGCTGTATCGCATCCTGCCCAGCTCCTCCTCCTCTGGTCCAAGGAGGAGGAGGAGGAGGAGCATCCCCTGCCCCAGGCTCACCTGGAGCCCCGCAGCCCCACCTTGATCTCCAGCTGGTGCCGCTCCTGCGCCTCCTCCATCTCGCGGTCCCGGGTGCGCAGCTCCGCCTTCCTCTCCTCCAGCTCGCGGCGGGTGATCTCCCAGTAGCCCTGGATCCGGTTGCACTCCAGCTGGAAGGAGTTCCGCTCCTGCCGCTCGCGGTCCAGCTCCTGCCGCATCCGCAGCATGTGCTGCAGCAGCTGCACAAACAGGGGAGCACAGAGGTGAGGGGCAGGCACAGGTGAGGGGCGGGCACAGGTGAGGGGCGGGCACAGGTGAGGGGCAGGCAGGCCTGGCACAGGTGCCTTTGCCGAGTCCCTGTCCCAAACCCGCAGGATGTGCCGGCTGTCGCCGTGTGGGGCTGTGGAGGTCCTGACTAACCCAGCAGCTTCTGGAAAAGGAGTCACAAAACCTCACTGCCCGGGATGGGGCTCTGGCTGGCAGTGCCCAGTGACACCAGTGACACCAGTAACAGTGACACCAATGACACCAGTTAACACCAGTAACAATAACACCAGTGACACCAGTAACAGTGACACCAGTAACAGTGACACCGGTAACAGTGACACCGGTAACAGCATTCCCAGGTATCAGAATAAAACAAGCAAGGCTCCATTTCCTTCATGCAGGAAAGGCCCAGTGTTTACTCATGTAACTCATTTTATACAGTTTTCACAGACTTGTGTGCAGCATCTGCTGGCTGGCAGTTTTTTACCGCTTTGTTTATTGTCAGAAGGTGATTTGTGTGTACATGCTGAGGTGCAGGTTGTTTGCATTTTTCTTTTGTGGGTTCTCATGGAACAGAGCTAATGTTTATGCAGGTCCCCTTATTTCTCACGCAAGAACAGGTTGTTATGTTGGCACACTATTCATTCCAGGTTAGTTTGTGCATGGGAACTTGCAAAGTACCAGCTGCACTCAGAAGAAGTGGCAGGCTAACAATCAGTTTCACAGAGCAGGTCTGGTTTATGAGGCCTTTCTTTTCTAATTCTTCTACCGGTCACAACACTCATGTGCTTAGATACTTCTGGTTCATGGAACTGTTTGGGTTGGAAAAGCCTCTAAAATCAAGTTTAACTGTTCCTTCAGCAGTGGCAATGCCAGCCCTAACCCCTGTCCCCAAGTGCCACATCCACATGAGTCCTAAATCCCTCCAGGGATGGGACTACACCTCTGCCCTGGGCAGCCTGGGCCAGGGCTGGACAGCCATTTACAGGGAGAAATGCTCCCAATATCCAACTTCAACCTGTCCTGGCCCAGTCTGAGGCCGTTCCCTCTGCTCCTGTCCCTGTTCCCTGGAGCAGAGCCTGTCCCCTCCTGTCAGGGGCTGTGCAGAGCCACAAGGTGCCCCCTGAGCCTCCTTTGCTCCAGGCTGAGCCCCTTCCCAGCTCCCTCAGCCTCTCCCTGTGCTCCGGACCCTTCCCATCTCCATTCCCTTCCCTGCCATGCTCCAGCCCCTCTCTTGTCCCGAGGGCCCCCAGGATTCGCAGCAGTGCCGGAACCCGGGGCTGTGAGCAGAGGGAGGGCTGAGGCAGCAGGAGCAGCCCCAGGCAGGCGCCAGTGACACCGGCCCGGCTGCTGGGCCCCGTCACCCCGTGCAGCTGCTGTTCCCGGCGCCAGGCACGGTCCCCGAGCTGTCCCCGAGCTGTCCCCGGGCTGTCCCCTCCCGTTCTCCCCCGGTGCCGCTCACCTGCTCCTTGGTCATTTCCTCCGGGTCCAGGCCATCCACCACCGCCAGGCCCTTGCCCCTTTTCCCTCTCCTTTTGGGTCCCTGGGGACAGAGAGCCAAGCACAGCAGGTGAACGGGTGAGGAGGACACGGCGCTGCTCGGGGCCCCGGTGCCGGTCCCGGAGCATCCCCGCTCTCACGGCAGGGACCGACCGGGACAGCGGCGGCACCGAGCCGGGAGCAGACCCATGGGCGGCCACTGCCGGCCCGGCTCCGCGGGGAACCCCGAGGCACCTGTACCCGACATAACGCCCGAGAAGCGTCCCCGCAGTGCTGGGCACGGGGCCGGGGGCTCCGAACCCTCCCCGGGAGCGGACCGGGACAGGACTGGGTTCGCAGACACCGGAGCGCGGGGCTCCACCGCCCTCCCCTGCCCGCAGACCCCGGCTGCAAGACACCCGTCAGCAGCCGGTGCGGTTCTCCCCCGGTTCTGCTGTTCCCGGTGCCGGTCCCGGCCCGGTCCCGCTCTCACCATGGCGGCGGCACCAGCGTCTCCGAGCAACGGACGGCAGGTCCCGCGAGAGGACGGCGAGATCTCGCGAGAGCGGCACTGCGTGAGACACGCCCCCTAGCAACGCCACGCTCCGCCCTGGCAACGGAGGCGGGGCCAGCGGGAGCGGCGGGGCCGGGGTGGGGGGGGCCGGGAGGGGACACCGGGGAGAACCGGGGGACACCGCGGGCACCGGGCGGGGAGGGGGCGCCGGGGGCCGTGTGAGGGAACCTGGGGACCGGGGGAACCGAGGAGTTCGGGCAGGACGGGGGGGACAAACCCGGGGAGTCCCGCCGTGTCCGGCCCAGGCTCCCCGACCCCCGCGCCCACCGCTGTACCGGGGCTGTCCCCACAGCTGCGGCACAGCCCCGGCTCTGCTCCCCGAGCCCCCCCGCTCCTCCCGGTCCCCTCCGCGCCCTCTCTTGTCCCGCCGGTGCTCCCGCCCCTCGTCCCCGCCCATCCCGGTGTCCCCGCCCCCGGTGTCCCCGCCCCCGCCGCGGCGGGCAGGACCGTGCGGGCTGCGGGCTGGCACCGGGCCCGCCCAGCACCGGACCGGCACCGGCACCGTCCCCGGCATCAGCCCCGAGCCCGGCGCATGGCGGCCCCGGCAGCGGCCGGCACCGGAGGTGAGGGCGGGGGCAGAGCGGGGAGGCTCGGTGGGACCGGCACGCCCATCGCCGTGGAACCGGGCCGGGCCCCGCGGGGCGCACACGGAGATGTAGGGCGGGGGTGCGGCGGAAGGGGCTGCGGGGGCTGCACTGGGGGGCAAAGGAGGCAAAGGGGCCGGGCTGGGGGGCTCCGCTGCACGGGAGGGATTGGGGGGCGGGGACCGAGAACCGGGAACCGGGGGGGTCCGTGCCGGGAGAGCCGGGGACGGAGGGACAGAGCAGTGGGGCACCCAGAGAATGTGGGGGGACACGGGTGTTCGGGGCGCTGAGGGAGCCCTGGGGTGCCCCGGGGGTTTGGGGGGCAGGGGGTGCTCGCAGGAGGGGGTGCAGGGCGGTGACAAGGGGAGGCAGCGGGGTGGCCGGGCGGTCACACGGAGCTGGGGAGAGCACCGGGCACCTGGGCTTGCAGCGGGTGCCCCGGGAATGTGGGGGGACGCTGGGGTGCCCGGGGTGCACAGGGGCGGTGGGGGCTCACGGGACATGCGGGAGCTCTGGGGTGCCCAGGGGAGCAGGGGGTACCTGCAGCCACCCCGCACGGCTGTGGCAGTGCCGGTGTGCGGGGGGCTCGGGGACAGGGAGGTGCCGGTGCCGGTGCTGGTGCAGCCCAGGGGGCCGCAGTTCTGGGGGGCTGCACCTGGCGGCAGAGGCGGTGCCGGGGCTGCCCTGCCCGCCCGTCCCTCCCGGTGTGGCCCGCACGGGACCGGGCCGTACAACCCGCACGGGGCAGCCCCGGCCGTGGCACCGGGGCAGCGGCGGGACACCGGCCCGGGGGGGGGCGGTGCCCCCGGGGCGGGCTGCGGGTGCCGCGGGGTGCCCGGTGCCGCGGGGTGCCGGTACCGGCGGCCGCCCGGCTCTGCGGTTGCCGTGAGTCAGCAGCGCACGGCGGGCGGGAGGGAGCGATCCCTGACCCGGCCCCGCTCCCGCCAGGCAGCCGGTGAGCCCCGGTGACACTGCCGGTGACACTGCCGGTGGCACGGCCGGTGGCACGGCGGGACCATGCAGGCGGAGGCCAGAGGGGAGTTCTGCAGCCGGGAGCAGCGCCCCGGTGGGTGCGGGCGCGGTGCGGGCAGGGGGCTGCGCTCCTTACGGTGACACGGCACGGTGACACGGCACGGTGTCACCCACCGGGCTGGGCAGGCGGCGGGAGCGGGCGGGAGCGCGGGGGGATCCGCTCTGCCCTGCCCTGCTCTGGAGCGGGATGAGGAGCGATTTCCCGGGGTGAGGAGCGATTTCCCGGGGTGAGGAGCCCATTTCCCGGCCCGAGGGGACGCACTGCCAGCGCGGGGTGCCCGATGTCCCCTGCGGGGTCAGGATGTGGCAGAGCCACTGTCGGGGCAGAGGGCTGCTGTCCCATGCTGTCCCATGCTGTCCCACTGCTGTCTCATGCTGTCCCATTGCTGTCCCACTGCTGTCTCATGCTGTCCCATGCTGTCCCATTGCTGTCCCATTGCTGTCCCATGCTGTCCCACTGCTGTCCCATGCTGTCCCATGCTGTCCCACTGCTGTCCCATGCTGTCCCCATGCTGTCCCATGCTGTCCCACTGCTGTCCCATGCTGTCCCATGCTGTCCCGTGCTGTCCTGCCCATGTCCTGCAGCTCCACGTGCCAGCAGCAGGAATTCCCCTTCCCCCGTGGGTTGGAGGTCTCTGTCCCTGTCCCGCTGTCACCGTCTGGGTGGGAGGGAGGCGATGCCATCCCCGAGCCGTGCCACCCGGTAACTCAGTGCTGGCACGGTTCGGTGGTGGCACGGGGTGCACCGACCACGGGGACAGGGCGCAGTTCCCCCCCTGGGCACACAGAGCCTCCCCGGTGCCCCCTCAGCCCCGAGGCACGGCCGTGCCCCCGCCGTGTGCCACGGCCGCGGGCCGCACCGGCACCGTGTGCCCGGGCTGGGCCGTGCCGCGGCCGCCGCGTCCCTGCGCTCCCCGCGGGGACGGCCCCAGCACAACCCGCCCTCGTCCGGGCCCGGCACAGCCGCGCTTTGTCTCCCGACACAAAGGGGCTGCGGGCGGGGGCTGGGGGCTGCCAGCCCCGACACGGGGGCTCGGGCAGCGCTGCCCGTGCCCGGTCCTCCCGGGGGTCCTGCTGCGCCCTGCCCTGAGCTGGGCACCCCGAGGGGAGCTGCCCTCGCTGAGGCGGAGGGTGCTGATGTGGCAGAGCTCGGCAAGGAGCCGCTGGTCCCGGAGCGCCCCGCAGGGACCCCCACGCACGGCCCGGCCCAGGAGCCCCCCCGAGTGCCCGCGGAGGAGCAGGGGGGCATCCCCATCCCCAGCGCCGGCCTGCTGCAGGTCACCGAGCGCCGACGTGAGTGAGGCCCTGAGCCGCGCTCCCTGCCCGTCCCTGTGGTCCCCTGCTTTGTCCCTGCCATGTCTGCCGCCCACAGCGTCACCTGCCTGTCCCCAGCACCTCCGGTCGGCTCCAGGGTTTCCTGCTTGTCCCCAAGAGTCCTCTGCCAGCCCTCGGGGTGTCCCGATTGTCCCCAGTGTTCTGCCATCCCCTGGGGTCTCCTTCCTGTCCCTGGAACCCCTAGGGTCCCCAGCCCCTCACGCCCCCAGCTCCCTGGGCCCCAAGCAGCGGCCCCCGGCTCCCCGGTGGGCAGGGCGGCGCGTGCCCAGCCGTGCCCGGTGCCCGCAGAGCCGCTGAGCAGCGTGTCCTCGCTGGAGGTGCACTTCGACCTGCTGGACCTGACCGAGCTGACCGACATGTCGGACCAGGAGCTGGCCGAGGTCTTCGCCGACTCCGACGAGGAGAACGCGGCCGCAGAGACGCCCGGCGGTGAGCGGGGCTCCGGGGCCGCCGCTCCCGGCGCGTCCGCCCGCCCCGGGGCGCCGCTGACCGCGGCCCCGGCCGTGCGTCCCGCAGGGCTGCAGCCGCCGCCGCGGGCCGGGTACCTGCGCTCGCCCTCCTGGAGCCGCGCGCGGGAGCAGGGCCGGGACAAGAAGCACCTGAGTGACCCCGAGCTGCCGCCGGGACCGCCGGGACCCCCGGACGCCTTCCTGCCCGCCGAGCGCCCGCGGGAGCCGTAGGGACAGACCCGCCGGGGACACCGGGACGCGCCGCTGCCGGTCCCGTCGGCACCGATGGAGCCCGGCCCCGGGCGCAGGACTCCCGTTAGCCCGCCCGGAGGGCACGGGCGGCCCCGGCCCCGCGGCGGGGACGTACCGGGCTGCCCTCGGCCGGTGGCCCCGGGGGGAAACCGGGCCGGTCCCGCCGGCCCCCGGGAGCGGCACGGCCTTGGTCACCGGGAGCGGCGGATGGGGCGGCACGGGACGGGTCGCACGGCTCAGCGCGGCCCGACGGAGCGCGGCCGGTGCCGGTGCCCGCCCGGTTCTGATGTAGCAGTGCTGTGATCCGGTAAAACCGACCGACCGACCGACCCACCGCCGGCCTCTGCCCGTCTGCGCCGCCGCTGGGGGAGCGGGAGGAGCTGGGGGCACGGAACAGCGCGGGAGCAGCGGGGAGGGAGTGCCCGGCCCTACCGGGTACCGGGGCAGCGGGGCCGCGGCCACTTCCGGTGGGCGGGAGACCGGCGGTGGCTGCGGCACATCCCGAGCAGCGCAATTCCACCCCGCGGGCAGGCCCGGGACCGGTGCTCGCCCCCGGCAGCCCCAGACAGACCGGCGGGAGCTCCCGGGCTGCCACCCCCGGGCGCTGGCACCTCATGCCCGTGCCCCCGGTGCCCCCTCGCCGCCCGAAGCAGGGACACGAGTGCCGGGTTGCGCAAAGAGGCTCCTTAATGCTACAGAAACACCGGGAGAAGGGGAGGCGGCGGCTCCGCACCGCGCCCGGTCCAGCCCGGGGAAGATCCCGCAGCATCCCCCCGGGGCTCGGCGGTGCCGTGGGCTGCGGAGGGACCAGACTCCGGTGTTGTGTGGGAGGGACTCGGTCCCGCCCCGGTGCCAGGGCTGAGCCCTCCTGCCAGCGCCTGTCCCTGCAGGACAGCACAGCAGCCCCAGCCCTGCCCGCAGCCGTCCCTGCCCCTGCCCGCAGACCGGTCCCAGGCAGGAGCCGCTGCGGGGCCTTTACCGGATCCCGGTTAACCCCATCCTGCCCCTCCGGTGAGGCTCTCGGTGCTCCCGGGAAGGGCTGGGCTCCAGCAGTGATTCCGTCCCGGCGGCGCTGCCACGTCCATGAGCACGGGATCGCAGAGCCAGCCCCACCCCAGTCCCCAAACCACCGCTGGGCTGATCGTGTCCATCCCAGGGCCCTGTGCTGGGTGGGGTGGGGGCAGCCTCGGGCCTGAGACCCCACAGTGGGGCCAGACCCCCTCAGGGCTCCCCCTCCGTGCCGGAGTCCTGGAACAGGGATTGCTTCCGCAGGCTCAGCCGGGCGCAGCGGGGACACGTGGTGGAGTTGTCGTAGTAGCAGTCCCTGCAGAGGGGGGGGACAGTGCTGGGTCACCCCTGCCACCCCCAGGGCCCCCAGCCCGCCCCAGAGTGCCACGGTACCTGTGGAAGACGGCGGAGCAGTCGGCGCACACCGAGGTGTGGCTGTCGAAGGGGAAGAGCACGTCGCCCTCGCGGCACAGCTCGCAGACAAAGCCCTTGGCCTGGCACCGCTGGGGAACGGGGGACAGTGTGACCAGCAGGTGACAGTGGGGACCCTGCCAGCCCTGCCCCGGCCCCACGGGGGTGTCCCCACGGCCCTGCCCCCCCAGCACGGGCTCACCTCGCAGTCCAGCTTGATGTGCTTGGCAAAGAGCGTGTGGATCTCGGTGAGGGAGCAGCCCAGGCGCCCGGCCTCGATGTCGATCAGGTCCTGCAGCGAGTACATCTCGTCGTTCTCCACAAAGTGCTGCCGGTCCTGCAGCTGGGGGGGAAAGGGGCGCTGTGACCGCCACCAAGGTGTGACCGTCACTGTCGTGTGACCGCCACCAAGGTGTGACCGCCACCAAGGTGTGACTGCAATCACTGTGTGACCACAATCAGTGTGTGACCATCACTGCTGTGTGACCGTCCCCAAGGTGTGACTGTCACCACCACGCCTGGCCCAGGCCCCTGCCTGACCTGCAGCAGCAGCCGTGCCTCCATGGCCTCCTTGCAGGTGATGAAGTAAGGCTTCATCAGCAGGATGTCCTGGCGCAGCTTCTGCAGGGGACACGATGGGAGGGGTGGCAATAGGGACAGGAATGGGATGGGATGGAAATACAGGAATAGGGACAGGAATGGGAAAAGGAATGGGGATAGAGGTGGTGACAGGAATAGGACCATAGGGAAGGGTAGGGGCAAGATGAGGATGAGGATGAGGATGGGGACAGGGTTGTTAATGGGATGGAGACAGGAGCATGACAAGAAGCCCAGACTGGGGCAAGTTCATCCCTGTTACAGTCTGGGCACCCTCTGCCCCAAACCCCCCACCCCACCTTGCTTCCTCTCTGTGGGACCCAGTGGGTGCCCCTGGGGTCCCCCCACCTCCTGCTCGCTGCACAGGCCCCTGTGGTGTCCCCTGCCCTTGGGGTGCCCTCCCCAGCCCCAGCACTCACCCGGATCTCCACCAGCTCCTCCACGTAGTTGAAGAGCAGCGGGTTGATCTCCCTCAGCTTCAGCACCGGCCGTGACACCATCAGTGCCAGGTACCTCATGCTGCACCGTGACACCTGCCAGCGCCGCCAGGGCCACCTCAGCACCTGCCAGCCCTGTGCCACCACCCAAGGACCCCCTGCCCCCATGACCGGGGCTGCGGTCCCCCAGGTGACATCTGCACAATGCCATGATCCCCAGAGACGTGCGAGGTCAGGGATGGGATCCCCCAAGTGACCTCTACCATGGGAGTCCCTTCCCGGGGGGACACCTCTGACAAAGGACACAGCTCCCAAGCCACCTCTACCCACGGATGCACCTCCCAGGGACCCCCACAAACAAGCACATGCCCCCCGGTGGCCTCCACTCAGGGGTTCTGTCCCAGGGGTCTCTGTGCCACCCAGGTGCCCCCAGCCCACCTTGCGGGGCTCAAAGTCCCAGTTGTGGATGGCCCGGGCGGGCACCACGGCCAGGTCGTTCCAGTGGCAGCTGGAGCAGTAGTAGAGGCCGGTGTAGTCGCACTGCCGGGCCTCGCTGGGCACCCCCCCTGCGGTGGCACAGGGCTGGCACGGGGCTGGCACCGCCACCGCCCTGCCCTCTGCGCCCCCCACACCCTGTGCGTGCCCCCAGCAAGCCCCGGGGACACGGCAGGGCCCCGGTGTCACCTTCCCCACATCCCCATCACCCCCAGAGCCCACAGTCAGCTCCCGCCAGCCCCACACACCCCCCAGCCCACAGCCCCTCACTCTGGGCTCCCCCAGCCCCACAGAGCCCCCCCAGCCCCCTCATCCTCACAACCCTCAGTCCCACAGAGCTTCATGAACCCCCCAGCCCTACAGCCCCAACCCCACAGAGCTCTCAGCTCATCCCAGCCCCACTGAGCCCCCAGGCAACACAACTCCCCAGCTCCCCCAGCCCTGCTTTCCTCAAGCCCCACAGAGCCCCACTACCCACAGCCCTCCCAGCCCCAGCTCCCCCAGCCCTCCCCAGCCCCCCCAGCTCCCTCCAGCTCCCCCAACTCCCCCCAGCCCCTCCAGATCCCCCCACCCACCCCCAGCTCCCCCAGCCCTCCCAGTTCCCACCATCTCTCCCATCTCCCCCAGTCCCCCCAGCTCCCCCAGATCCTCCCAGTCCCAGCTCCCCCATCTCCCCCAGCCCCCCCAGCTCCCCCATTTCCCCACAGTTCTCCCCATCTCCCCCAGCCCCCCATCTCCCCCAGTTCCCCCATCTCCCCCATTTCCCCACAGTTCTCCCCATCTCCCCCAGCCCCCCATCTCCCCCAGCCCCCCCAGTTCCCCCATCTCCCCCAGTGCCCCCATCCCCCGGGCAGCAGGGGCTCACGGAGGGAGATGGGGGCCCGGCACTCGGCACAGCGGTAGTCCTGGCTGTCCAGGCCGCTCTCGGGGCAGATGCTGAGCTGGTACTCCGCCTGGTGGCTGACCTGGGCCCGCACGCACGGCCGGCTCACCAGCGGCAGGCACTTGCTGTGGCAGCGGTAGTAGCAGCCTGCGGGCACGGGCGGCTGTCAGCGCGGGCGGGGGCCAGCGGGGACGGGCAGGGTGTCCCGGACGCACCTGTGCAGGTGTACCAGGTCTGGATGAGCCCCCAGATGATGGTGCTGCACTTGTCGCACATCTGCTTGACGCTCTTGCTCTTCTCCTTGTAGAAGCGGTGCTCCAGGACCACGCGGATGTTGGGCTCATCCTCACCGGGGTCCTGCAGGGGGGAATGGGGCTCAGAGAGCTAAAGAATCACGGAATGGCTTGGGCTGGACCTTAAGGGTCACCCCTTCCACCCTCCCTTCCCTGCCATGGACGGGGACACCTCCCACCACCGCAGGATGCTCCGAGGCGTGTCCAGCCCTCCAGGGATGGGTGCGAGCACGGAGCCCCAGCACAGAGCCCCTGTGTGCGCGGCCCCGGCCCCACCTTGAGCTCCTGCAGCTTGAGGCGGAGGTGGATGAGGCGCACCACGGCGTCCTTCTGGCGCTCCGAGTGCTCGGGCAGCGCCAGGATCACCCGCTTGCACTCCTCGATGGCGCGGCGCAGCTGCGGCACGTCCGACGCCAGGATCAGCCCCTGCCGGCACCCGAGGGGCGAGAGGAGGGTCAGCCGAGCCCCCCGCGCGCCCCCCGCCCCACAGCGCCCGCCGCACTCACCACGGGCCGCGAGAAGTGGTCCTCGGCCAGCCCCAGGTCCAGGGCGCCCTCGGGGTCCCCCGGGGGGGGGTCCGCCTGCTGGGCTGCAAAGGGGGGCCGTCGTGGGGGGCTGAACCCACCCCCGAGCGGGGGCTGGGCCCGGCTGCGCCCCCCGTGCGGGACAGGGAGGGGCGGGGGGGAAGCGGCACCCACCTGGGGCGGGGGGCTCCCCCTCGGGCCGCTCCGGCTGCTCGGGGCTCTTGTTGAACGGGTTCAGGTGCGCCTGGCGGAACCGGGCCAGCCGCTCGTCCGACGCCATCGCCGCCGTCCTGCTGCCGGGGGACACGGCCTCAGTCAGCCCGGTTCGGGCAGCGGCACCGGCACGGGCACCCTGGCACCCACAGCCCAGCGCCGGCACCCTGGCATCCACAGCCCGGCACTGGCACTGACACCAGCACCCCAAATGCCATCAGCACCCCGAATACCATCACCACCACCCCGTGACAGGCACTTGCACGGCATCACCAGCACCCACACCCTGGCACCAGCACAGTCACCCCATGCCAGGCACCAATAGCACCTCAGCAGCACCGGCACTGTCACCAACACCCTGTCACGGCACTGCCACCTCAGCACCGGCACTTCCCCACCGGCAGCAACACCCCGGTACACCCACCGGGGGTACCAGCCCTGGCACCGGCACCCCAACAGCAGCGCTGAAACCCCGTCACGGGCACCGGCACTGGTACCGACATCTCCTCACTGCCACCGACACCCCGGTACGGCCACAGAAACCCCAGCACTGCCACAAACACCGACACACCGGCACCGGCACTGACACCGACACACCGGAACTGACACACGGGCACCGGCACCGACACACCACCTGCCACCGACACACCGCACCGGCGTTCTGTCACAAGCACCGCCACCCCAGCACCGTCCCCGTCCCCGACTCCTCGGTGCTGGCACCATACCCCGTCTCCTCTCCCGTCCCTGTCCCCGTGGACAGACGCGTCTCTCCGCCTCCCACGCCCGTGCCCCCGCCCTGCCCCGCCGGCACCGCCCGCTTCGGCCCGCGGTCACCACGTACCGGCACCGTCCACGCATCGCGGCCCCCCGAGGGCCCCGCTGTGCCCCGGCTGTACCCCGCTGTCCCCCGCTGTCCCCCGCTGTCCCCCGTTGTCCCCTCCCGTCCCCTCCCGTCCCCGCCAGGGGGCAGCGCCCCCGCCCCGCTCACCGCGCGCGCCGCCGCGCCCGACAGGCCCCGCCCCCTTACGGGGCCCCGCCTCCTGTGAGGCCCCGCCCCGGCAGGCTCCGCCCCTCGAGTCCTGCGTGCTGTCGCCGCCTGCCGGCCGGCAGACCGCACTGCACCCGCCGCGCCCGGGCGGGGCCGCTCCGCGACAGCCGCACTGTCCCCAGCGCGACATCTGCACCCTCCCCACCGCGACAGCCGCACTGTCCCCATCCCGACAGCCCCACTGCTGCCATCCCCACGGCGACAGCCCCACTGCTGCCATCCCCACCGCGACAGCCCCACTGTCCCCGTCCCGACAGCACCACTGCTGCCATCCCCACCGCGACAGCCCCACTGTCCCCATCTCGACAGCACCACTGCTGCCATCCCCACCGCGACGGCCAGCCCCACTGTCCCCACCGCTACAGCCTCACTGTCCCCACCGCCCCAGCCCCACTGCTGCCACCTGCACTGTCCCCACCCCGACAGCCCCAGAACCCCCAGCCCTACCATTCCTTTTCCCTACAGCCCCCGTCCCCACAACCCACAACCTCCATCCCCACTGTCTCCATCCCTACAGACCCCACCCCTGCAGCCTCCATTCCCACTGTCACCATCCTCACAGCCCCCAGCCCCACTGTCCCCATCCCCACAGCCCCTGTTCCTACAGCCCACAGCCCTACTGGCCAATGGCCTCCAAAGGCAGGGGCTCAGAGCCAGGAGTGTCCTGAGTCCTCCACAACTGAGCACACACTGAGCTCTGGGGAAACACCCTGGGGTCCCCGGGGTCTGTGCTACCACCTCAGATTGGGGAACAAAGGGCCAACTGTGTCCTGGCACAGGGCCACACCCCCCCAGCATGGAGAAGGATGACAGTGGGGACAAAGGCACAGCCCGCCTGGGGCAGCTGGATCTGAGGGGCAGAAGGGTGGGGGGCACTGCATGGGGGCTTCCCAAACACCTGCTCTGCCTGGGAATGGCTGGGGGGGCTGAACCGTGTGGGTGTCCCCTGTCCCCCTACCCAGCAGGCACACACAGGTACTACCTGGACAGCAATAAATTTATTAAGTATTCAAAAAAAATAATAAGACACAAACCAGTAAAAAACGAAAAGGGGGGAGGTAGGAAGGGGGGCGAGGGGCCGAGCCGGCTCAGGGGGGACCGGGGTCAGGAGACACTGAGGGGATGGCGGGGAGCAGCACCGGGGGCTGCAGCAGCACGAAGCCGGGGGGCCGCGGGCAGTGCCGGGGGCGGCGGGCGTCACTTGGCGCCCTGCGCCTCCGACTCCTCCTCGTCGTCCTCGTACATCTCGCCCTCCTCCTCGGCCGTGGCGTCCTGGTACTGCTGGTACTCGGACACCAGGTCGTTCATGTTGCTCTCGGCCTCGGTGAACTCCATCTCGTCCATGCCCTCGCCCGTGTACCAGTGCAGGAAGGCCTTGCGGCGGAACATGGCCGTGAACTGCTCCGAGATGCGCTTGAAGAGCTCCTGGATGGCCGTGCTGTTGCCGATGAAGGTGGAGGACATCTTCAGCCCCCGCGGCGGGATGTCGCACACGGCCACCTTGACATTGTTGGGGATCCACTCCACGAAGTAGGAGCTGTTCTTGCTCTGGATGGCCAGCATCTGTTCATCCACCTCCTTCATGGACATGCGGCCACGGAAGACGGTGGCCACGGTGAGGTAGCGGCCGTGGCGGGGGTCGCACGCCGCCATCATGTTCTTGGCGTCGAACATCTGCTGGGTGAGCTCGGGCACGGTGAGGGCGCGGTACTGCTGGCTGCCCCGGGCCGTCAGCGGGGCGAAGCCGGGCATGAAGAAGTGCAGCCGCGGGAAGGGCACCATGTTGACGGCCAGCTTGCGCAGGTCGGCGTTGAGCTGCCCGGGGAAGCGCAGGGAGGTGGTGACGCCGCTCATGGTGGCCGACACCAGGTGGTTGAGGTCGCCGTAGGTGGGGGTGGCCAGCTTGAGGGTGCGGAAGCAGATGTCGTAGAGCGCCTCGTTGTCGATGCAGTAGGTCTCGTCCGTGTTCTCCACCAGCTGGTGGATGGACAGCGTGGCGTTGTAGGGCTCCACCACCGTGTCCGACACCTTGGGCGACGGCACCACGCTGAAGGTGTTCATGATGCGGTCGGGATACTCCTCGCGCACCTTGGAGATGAGCAGCGTGCCCATGCCCGAGCCGGTGCCCCCGCCCAGCGAGTGGGTCAGCTGGAAGCCCTGCAGGCAGTCGCAGTTCTCGCACTCCTTGCGCACCACGTCCAGCACCGAGTCCACCAGCTCGGCGCCCTCCGTGTAGTGCCCCTTGGCCCAGTTGTTGCCGGCACCGCTCTGCCCTGGGAAGAGAACAGAGGCTCCGATGGCCGCCGGCCCCCCACGCCCACGGCCCGAGGGCACCGGCAGAGGATCGGGGCCGGCCCAGCCGCTGCCGCCGGCAGCACCGGCAGATCTGACGCCGGGGCGGGGTGGGAAGCAGGAACTGCAGAGGTTTGGCGGCGAGCCGGAGGTGCCGGCCCCGCGGCGCGGGAGGGGTGTGCCCGCCCAGGGCCCCGGGGACGGCGACCGGCCGGGCGGGTCCGAGGGCGCTGGGGCTCGGGGGAACATCGGGGGACCCCTCCCTCCCCGGGGACCTACCAAAGATGAAGTTGTCGGGGCGGAAGAGGTGGCCGAAGGCACCCGAGCGCACGCTGTCCATCGTCCCCGGCTCCAGGTCCACCAGGATGGCGCGAGGCACGTACTTGTGAGCTGAGAGAGACCCCGTGATGGGAGCGGACCTGCAGCTGTCCCCCATCCCGCCCCAGAGGTGTTCCCAGCACCCTGCAGGTTCTACGGGGCTGGTGCACAGGTCATGTCCCCCCAAATCCCAGGGGCTCCTGGTGTGGTGCGTGTCTCGTTACCCCCAAACAATGGGGGTCACATGGGGTGGGTGCAATGTCTGCCCCCATTCCCCGTGGGCTGGGGGATGTTGGTGGTTTGTCCCTCCCTCACCACAGGATCCTACAGGGGGAGCACAGGTGTCCCTCTGTCCACAAACCCCAGGGTCCCGCGGGGTGGGTGTATGTGTGTCCCCCTCCCACACCACAGTGTCCCACTGGGGAGATACATGTGTCATGCCCCCACCCAAACTACAGGATCCCATGAATTTGGGGGCACAGGTGCCCCTGTCCCCCCACAGGACGGGGTCTGAGGGGTGGGTGCACATGTCTGCCCTCCCGGGGTCCAACAGGGCTGGGTGCAGGTGTTGTGTGTGACCCCTCCCAAACCGCAGGGTCCCGTGGAACTGGGTGTGCACCGACCATTTCCCCCTGCCCCAAACGAAACGGTCCCACGGGGTGGGTGCACCTGCCTGCCCACCCCACACCTCCAAGGGTGGGTCTGTCTGTCTGTCTGCCCCCCTGCCCCCCCACGCAGCCCCAGCTCCTCCTGCACTGTGGGGTCACACCGGGGCCCCTCCCAGCTCAGAGTGGGGGTGCCGGGCTGCCCTGCCGGGGGGGTTCTGAGGGGGGGGTCGCTTACAAGAGGCCTCATTGTAGTAGACGCTGATGCGCTCAAGCTGCAGGTCCGAGTCCCCCACGTAGTTGCCGCTGGGGTCGATGCCGTGCTCGTCGCTGATCACCTCCCAGAACTGGGGAGGACGGGGAGCTCAGAGGGGCGGGAGGCACTGGAACACCCCCAGCCCCTGGGCGAGGCACGGGCACCGGGATCCTCCCATCCCTCGGCAGGGCTGGGTGGGGCAGGAGGCACCGGGACTCCCCAAACACTGAAATCCTCGGGCGGGGACAGGCGGGGGGCACCGGGACACCCCAAACACTGAAATCCCCGGGCGGGGACAGGCGGGGGGCACCGGGACTCCCCAAACCGCTGGGCAGGTTCCGGCGGGGCGGCGGGCACCGGGATCCCCAAACACCCAAAATCCCGAGCAGGGAGGGGGTATCGGGACTCCTCAAAGCCCGGGACGAGGCTCGGCGGAGCGGGGACACGGGGATCCCCCGAACACCCAAAATTCCGAGCAGGGCGGGGAGCACGGCAAAAGCCGAGCGAGTCTCAGCAGGGCGGGGGGCACCGGGACCCCCAAACGCCGAGCGGGGCTGGGCAGGGCGGGGGGCACCGGGACCCCGGGCGGGGCTCGGCGGGCGCTGTCCGCGGTTCTGACGGACAAAGGCGGGGGCGGGGGGCGCGGGGGGGGCGGGGCGCTTTGTCCTCCCGGTGCGGCGGCGGTGGGGGAGGGGAGCGGCTCTGCCTTTGTCCGCCGCCCGGCTCCGCCGCGGCGGGCGGGGCGGGGCGGCGCCGCCGTTACCTTGGCGCCGATCTGGTTGCCGCATTGCCCCGCCTGGATGTGGACGATCTCCCTCATGGTGCGGCCTGGCCGGAGCGGAGCGGGACGGGACGGGAGCGGGCTGGGGCCGGGAGCGGAGCGGCACCGGAGCGGAGCGGCACCGGGAGCGCGGGGGGCGGCGCGGCCAACGCCGCATCCTTTATAGGCTCCCGCCGCCGCACCGGGCCGGCCGCTGACGTCACCGCCCGCCGCAGCCAATCAGCGGCCGCCGCCGCAGCGCCGCAACAGCCCTGCGGCACCGGCACCGCCCGCCACGCCCCGCCCGGCCCCGCCCACGGCCACGCCCCGCCGCGGCGGAACCGGGACCCGGCACGGGCGGGGGGCACGGCCCGGGGGGCGCCCCCGGCACCCGCGGGGAGCGGGGACACCCCGGGACCCTTGCGGGCAGCCTGGGACCGCCCGGCGGCGGCGGCGGGAGCATCCCGGGGCGGCGGCGGCGGCGGGGCGGGGGGACACGCAGGGGACACCCCTCCTAACAGTGTCCCGGAACGGGAGGGGTAGGGACGGGGTACGGGAGGGCCACCCTGGGGGTCCCGGTCGGCGGTCGACCCCGCGGGAACGGGCGCGGTGCCGGTGCCGGTGACGAGGTGGGCGGCGGCGGGCGCGGCCCGAGAACAAAGGCGACGGTGATGGGCCCTTTGTCCGGGGGCGGCCGGGACCACCCCCCGCCTAGGGTCGGCCTCCCGCCGCCCAGTCGGTCCTTCCCGCTTCCCGCCGGGACCAAGTGACCCGTGACCGACCGGCGGGACCGGGAGGGACCTCTCCCCTCGGGGCTCCCCGGGGCCGCCCGATGCCAGCCACAGCGTCACTGCAAAGAGCCTTTATTGGGAACCGCGAGTCCCTCGCCCGGACCGGGCGCCCCGCGGCTCGTCCCGTCCGTCCGTGAGTCCATCCGTCTGTCCGTTTCAGGGCGGGGGTGGCCGTGCCGGTACCGTGTCCCGCTGCCTACCAGGAGCACGTCACCACCTCCCGCAGCGTCCGCCGGAGCTCCTGGCTCCGGAAGGCGTAGATGAGGGGGTCAATCACCGAGTTACAGATGATGAGGATGAGGAAGAGGTTGAAGTAGCTGAAGAAGCAGGTGCAGAAGGGGTTGGTGGGACAGGTGACGATGAGGATGAGGTGGAAGAAGAAGGGCCCCCAGCAGATGAAGAAGACGCCCAGGAGGATGGTGAGGGTGACGGCGCCCTTCAGGCTGCCGCCACGATGAGCGGTGGGCGGCTTCTGCTGGCTGGAGATGCTGTGCAGGTGGTGGCGGGCCAGGGCGAACATGTGGATGTAGAGCACCAGCATGAGGACCAGCATGAAGAGGAAGAAGCCGATGAGGCAGAGGAGGACGGTGTTGCTGCGGTAGTAGGCGATCAGGACGGCGCTGGACACGGTGCTGGCCAGCCAGACGCTGGCCATGGTGACCACGGCGCGCTGCAGGGTCATGATGCTGTGGTAGCGCAGGGCGTAGAAGATGGTGATGTAGCGGTCCACGGCGATGACCCCCAGGAAGGAGAGGGACGAGACCACGGAGCTGCAGATGAGCGTGTCGATGACGCTGTCCATGTGGCGGACGACGCTGGGGCGCATCACCAGCAGCCCGTGCTCCAGCAGCAGCATGAAGAGCATCTCCGCCAGGTTGCTGATGCTCACCAGCATGTCCGACACCGCCAGGCAGCAGATGAAGTAGTAGGTGGGCGAGTGCAGGTTCCTGTTCTTCAGGATGGCGGCCACCACCAGCAGGTTCTCCACCAGGCTCACCAGCCCCAGCGCCAGGAACAGCTCGCTGGGGATGTCCAGCCCCTGGCACCAGCCGCCGCCGGCCCCGACCGTGGCGTTGCTGTGGTTGCCCTCGCTGGCATTCGAGGGCTCGCGCAGCAGACGCAGGGGGGCCAGCGTCGACATGAGCCCCTCCTCAGCCCCGGGGCCCCCCGCGGCACCCGCACAGCCCCCGAGCCCCCGTCGTGCCCCGCCAGTTCTCCCGCGGCGCCCGGCGGCGAGGCCCAGGGGATGCCGAGGAATTGGGGCCGGGAGGCCCGGGCCGTGCCGGGGGTGCCGTGCGCCCGCCGGGACCCTCGGGCGCGGCTCTCTGTGCCAGCGCTGCCCGGCGTCCCACGCCGCCGGCCCAGGGTGCAGGGGAAGAAAGGGCCCTTTCTCTGCCCCACTTTAAAGCGGCTCCCGCAGCTCCTCCTCCGAGGAGGGTGGGCACCTGCGTGAGGGAGGCACCCTGGCAGCGAGGGGGCCGCTGCCGAGGCCAGGGCTGAGAGACCCCCAGGGTGGCCCTGGGGACCTCGATTGCTCGGGATCACCGTGTGCCCAGGGGTCTCAAAGGCCCTGGGGTGCTCCATGTACCCCTGGGGTCATGCACCTTGGGGTGCTGCCATCGGGGTCCTCTGTGCCCTGGGGGACTGTGCACCTTAGGGTCCCCATGTGTCCTGAGGCCCTGTGTCTGCTGGGGGGGACTCCTGAACCCTGGGGGTCTGCATATCTTGAGGGGTCCCCAAGGCCTGTGTGTCCTACGGGGGTCAATGTGCCTCGTGGGACTCGCGTCTTGGGGGGCCCCACCTGCTGTGGGGGTCACCCACACCCCCTGAGCTATCCATGCGCCTCGGGGACCCCTGCAGGACCCTCTGCACGGCCCGATGCAGGCTGTCCCACGCACCGGCACTGGGAGGGTCCCATTCCCACGGCCCCAGGGGAGATGCTGTACAGCGGGGCGGGCACGGGACGCGATAGGGATCGAGCAGGGCACGGTTAAATGGGACACGGCAGGCGCGGCGCCGCGGGGAGGCTGCGGGGACAGGGCCCAGCTGACCATCATGTGCCTTGGGTCCGTGTTGATGCCTGGAGCCGCGGGCTGCCAAAGAGCCATTCACAGCTCCGCGGGCAGGCCGCTCCCACGGGTGCCCGCTTCCGCTGGGGAGCCCTTCCCTCCGGCAGGGATGGGAACGGCTCAGCTGCCACACCGGGCATGGGGGCCCAGGGATGGAAATGGCTCAGTTGCCATGCTGGGCATGGGGGGCCAGTGCACACACCGGGCATGGGGGCCCAGGGATGGAAATGGCTCAGTTGCCATGCTGGGCATGGGGGGCCAGTGCACACACCGGGCATGGGGGCCCAGGGATGGAAATGGCTCAGTTGCCATGCTGGGCATGGGGGGCCAGTGCACACACCGGGCATGGGGGCCCAGGGATGGACACGGCTCAGCTGCCACACCGGGCATGGGGGCCAGGCTGCCCCAGTGCCAAATTACGGAGCTGGGATCCCATGGGATTTGGATGTACCGGTGGGGAATGGAGCCAGGCTGGGCTGGCTTGAGACTCAGGGTCTGCACACCCAGCCCAGCTACATCCCCCAGGGAGGTAATACAGCAGGAACAGGGATTTATTCCATGTATTCACCATTACTCAGCAAAAAAGGGAAAAAAGCTTTACGGGAACAAGGATGACTTAAGGTTTGACTGTGGCTCGCCTCGCTCCGTGCTCTAGGTGAAGGAATAAAGGAGAGACAAACAAAGAAGGGGGGAAAGATTTCTTCTCCAAACATAAATAAAAGGCTGAAAAAGCTGCTCCTTGCACAATTCTAGTGGCACACGGGAATCTCAGACCTTTGGAAGGTTCAGTGTAGTGAGGGTACAGAGTATTTTGTGGAGGGAAGGAAGCTCCAGGCTACGGGAAGCACAAAGAAGCAGAAGAGGGTAGTAAAAGCCCTCTGGGAATTAAGGACAAGAGGCAGGAGAACAGGGAGGGGAATAGGATGGAAATTGTGTGTAGAGGAGGCCAGAAGGGGACTAAGCTGCCATGGGGACAAGGGACAGCTGCTGTTGATTAGCTCGGACATGCTCAGACCGCCCTTGTCCCCTGTTGAGAGAGGAGCCCTGGACAAGGCCCACGGCTGTCAGCCCCCCCCCCCCGGATGGAAGCCACGCCATGGGTGCAGCCCCCTCCCCAGAAGAGCCCATTGCCACGGCCAGTCCGTTTGTGTGACTTTATTGGAGTGCGACACAAAGGGGTGACAGAGAGGCCCTGGGCAGGCAGGGACAGCCCGGCTCAGTCCCAGTCGCCGTCGCCCTCGGGATTGTCCTCGCGGGGCGGCTCCTGGAACTGGATGTTGGCCAGCATGTCCCTCATGGCCGCCATCAGCCGGTTCACCCCCTGGTTGAGGTCCTGCGCCGCCCCGGCCTCGTCGTCCCCGTCGTGCCGCACGTCCCCCTGCGAGAGCAGCGCGGTGGTGGCAGGGACAGGGACAGGGATGGCGCAGGGCCAAAGCGGCAGCAGGCTGCTGCCAGCAGTGGCTCCTGGAGCAGGAGCACCATGGGGGAACGCTGCACCCAAATCCCAGCCTGCACTCACCTGCAAATTAAAATTTGGCAACAGCGAGCGGAAGAAGAGGGATAAAGTGCTTTCGTTGGAGGGATGGCTCGTCCTGGAAGACACAAGTGGCACCATGGTGAAGGTACAGCCCAGTTTGTGAGTCCTCACTGGGATGTGGGTGGTGCTGGGAGAACCATGGTGCAGCTGGAACCAGCCCTGAGGGAGGGAACTGGGGAGTTCCAATGGGACTCTGAATCCAGGCAACTCTGAGAAGCAACTCTGAGCAAACCAGTCACCAAGAGCACAACCAAGGCCAGGTTGGAAGGGCCTTGGAGCAGCCTGGTCTACTGGAAAGTGTCCCTGCCCATAGCAGGGGGTAGAATGAGATGAGCTTTAAGGTCTTTTGAACCCAAACCATTCCAGGAGTCCATGATCCTACCAGCTCTGCTCTGAGTGAATTGGTGTGGAACACACACATGGCCCCACCCCAACACCAGGACTGGCTGCATTTAAATTTCCATTTACTCCAAACCCTCCCAGTCAGCCACGACCTGGGTTTTCCCTGGCTTTTGCCCTATGGCTGGCAATGGCCACTGGTGACCACCATGGGAAGCAGCAGGACCAGTCCAGCCTGTAGCTGTGCCTGCCTGGAGCACCACAGCCCTTCCTCTGCCATGGAGGAGATGCCAGCCCCGAGTGCCCAGCCTGGCCTGGGGCTGAGGGCATGCAGGGAACACGGCTGGATGTGCCAGAGCAGGAGCTGGTACCTTTCTGGGCGGGTGTAGGAAACAATGGAATCCAGAGGAGGGAGGGGGTCAAACCCCATCACTGGCTGGGAGGTCACCTCCTGCAGGGAGAGGAGAAAGGAGGGATGAAGGAGAAATGAAGGAATGAAGGCTGCATCCAGCAGCAGCAAACATGGGCACCCACAGAAGCCGTGAGTGACAGGGGTTAGGATGGGCCCAGCAGGGACACAGGTGCCACCACAGCCCCTGTGGCCCATCAGGCCCTCACCAGGGGCAGGGCTGCCGTGGCCTCCTTCATCTCCGAGAGGATGATGTGCCGGTAGATGTTCCTGGGAGCGCTCTGGTACCGGATCTTCCTCCTGAGACAGGGAGGGGACAGAGCAGTGAGCCTGAGCAGGCACATTCCCATTTCTGCTGCTCCAGGCGCAGCGTCAGCAGCTTCCCTGGCTCTGGGGGACAAGGCCATATTGGATGGAGCTGGCTTAGAGGGTGCCAAAGGGGGTGGGAGCTGCTGAGCTCTGGAGAAAGAGCAGAGAGCTCAGGAATGAGCAGGTTGACCTTGGTTTAGGACACCTGACAGCCCTCTCCTGTTTCTCAGCACTGTTCCTAAGCTCTCACCTGCCCTGTGTGGCCATCCCTGCCCTTCCAGGCCACCCCTCCACCCTCTCCAGGATGTTTGGAGGGTACAGGTGACAGCAAAGCCTGGGGAAGGCAGTGCAGGACATGCAGCACAGGTTCAGCTCTACATTCCCATTTGTGAAAAGCACGGAAGAGCCACTGCCTTCCTGGTGCCATGCTGTGACCTTGGCATCAGAGCAGCAGCTGTGGGGCTCTGAGCCTGTCCCAGACACTGGAACTGCTGCTGCCCAGCCAGACCCTCTGTCCCCCTCTGTCCCTGGCACAGGAACCCGGCACCCTCTGTGCTCACTTGTGCTCGGCCTCCTGCACCAGCGCGTTCCGGGCGTCCACCATGCGCAGAACCTCGTGGACGTGGGGCTCCAGCCAGGCCATGACAGCCGGGTCCTTCCACAGGGCGTGTGTCCTGCCCACGTACAGGGACGTCAGCTGGTTCAGGGCGGGCGACTGGCTGTGGGACAGGGCTGTTACTCACGGCACCCTCCTCCTCCTCCTGCTCCTCACGGGACGGCCAGGGCCCAGCTCTGCGCTGCCCTTTGGCGTGGGAACATCAGAGGCAGGCTCCCGCCTGGACACTGCCATCCACCTCCACCAGAACTTCTGCCTCCATCTATTTTTAGGCTAAGCAGAGCCATGAAATGAGGGAACGCTGCCCTGGCCTGAGGGAGAGCCTTCGCACGCTGAGGAAGACCACGTGTCCGGGAAGGCAGACTGGTTGGAGACAGCCTGCCCTGGGAGGACACACGCGTGTCACCTCCCTCCCTGCACACACCAACAGGCTTGGGCTGAACTCCTGACCCGTCCACCTTGAGCTGAGGTGGGTCTGTCAGCCCCATCCAGAGGCCATTATGGAAATCCATTATCAAAAGGATTATCAAATGAGGCATTACCAAATGAGCCTGCTCAGGGAACCCAAACAAGCTCTGCATTAGCTGTCTGAGCATGCAAGATCCCCGCCGCCGGCAAAATCGATCCCTTCCCCTCGCTGAGAACATCTCCAGGCCTTACCTGATCTGGGCATTCAGCCCAAAGAAGGGGTGGGAGGCGACCCTGGCATCGGGCTGCACGCTGCAGTGATCCAACAGCGGCATCAGAACTGCAACACAAAGGCAGAGAACTCGTCTGGCAAGGGGCAGTGTGGGGTGGGGTCACCCTCTGGGGCACCAACAAGGACACAAGGAGGGGTGAGGACACTGCTGGTCCCTGTGCT